ACTAATTCAAACTGACCACTCCAAAACTCCGCTCTTTCTGGTCTCTCATAGGCTGAGTGGGTGAGACAAAAGGGGTGCTGGAAATCCAGAAAAAGATGACGAAGTCCAAGAGGGAAAATGGGACAGACAGAGGCACACAGTGGGACCAACCACCACCAAGAGCAGGAGCCACAAATAGAGACAAAGGAGTGGCAAAGCTCCACAGGTGTGCCTGCACATATGCAAACACACACACACAAAACAACACCAACAAAAGATGCAGAAACAAAGAATGACTGAGAGAGAGAAAAGAAAGACTTTTGTTGAATAACATTCTTCCCTGTGGCCTACTACGGGACTGTCACAGAAGATAATCAAACCATGTTGCGTTTTTGCAACATTAGGCACAAATGATGAAATTAAAAACCTGGCCTTGGTCAGAGACTCCCTGCCCTGAAACTGTCCTTCTCAGAGACTCTGCCAGTCAATCGGCTGCACAGAGCACCCATCCTGGCCAAGTTCACTTGTGGAGTGGGTCTGGGTGATGGAGTGAAGTGATGCTCTTTGTCCTGAGAATTGGATGTTTACATATGTCCTCTATGCCCATCAAATAGAGTGACATATCATTAATTCAAATTCTAGTACTACATAATCTGTGCTAGTTTGGACATGGCTGAGTTGATAATTTTGCTTAGAAAGCTCTGTCCTCACAGGAAGAGCAAATTGACAATAGAACAAGAGTGATTCGAGGGTGACACGGCAAGAGAGACAAGAGAGCAAGATGCCAAGAACTCTTACAGACCGGAAATACCCACTTCTCAGGAAAAGCAATATGCTTATTACAAATTTGTGTTAGTTGATAAAGCAGGTCCCCAAAAGAACTCTGTAGGGCTTCAATTTCAAGGAAAGAATAGATTTTGTTAGTCCAGTAAAGATAATTTTATTAGTTTAATCATATACATAATACACAATTACATTGCCCTCATTAAAAAAAAGTACATATAAAGATAAGGTGACTTTTCTTTTTTTTCTCTCTCTTCACTCTTATCAATTTGGTATTTATCTTTCCAGACCATTTTCTACATATTTAAGTACACATACATACCTGTAGAAAACATACAGTTCTTCTGTTGTGTTTTATGTTGCTGTTGGTCTGTTTCACATAATGTTTCACATAAAGGCTACAGGGAATGGATCACTCTGCCACGTGCTTTTTCATTCGACCCCATGTCCAGGAGAGCTTTCCAGGTAAGTTCATCTAGATTACCTTATATCCCCCCCACCTCATTCTTTTAAACTGTTGCGTAGTATTTAATAAGTGGCCATTTCATAATTTAAGAGGCCATTTTCCTATTGATGGATATTTACATTGTTTCTGATTATTTGCTTTTACACACCACGATGCCTTAAACATCCTTGGACATACCTCCTGGTGCACGTGTGCAAGATCTGTTTTAGGATAGATAATGACGTGGTATTTCTGGGTCATCGGGCTTTTAGGACAATACCAGAGACTCCCCAAACTGCCCTCCAAAGTGGCCAGACTAGTTTACCTCCCAACAGCTGTGTGTGGAGTTCTCATTTCCCCACACCCTGATGTACGTCCTTCCAAGTCTTAAAGCTGCATATCTTCATAAAATTCTACTAGTCACACTTTTTTACTAATTTGTACTAAATGCCACCTACTGAAGTTTGATGATTCTTTTAATTAACTCCGGGAAGCTGGCAGAGCATCCATTTAATTCACAAGTACTCCTTCCCTTTGGCCTTTAGAGATAATTTATAAGCAGTATTGACTTGCACGCAAAGGGAGACAGTGTCTAACATAGGCCTCTGCTGTGAGAAGAGAAATTAGCTTGTTCAAAATTCTAGGCACGGGCTGACTGGCCAAGGGCTTATGCCGGAAAAGATTTATATAAGAAGGGCAAGTGTTTGCATTTCTGTCAATATTTCCACATGTTCTGCACTTCCACATGTTTTATGGTGACAAACCTTTCTTTCCTGGTTTCTGAAGTTTGCAATGTCACGTCTTTGCCCTTGAGCCCACGAGCTTGCCACCATCAGAGGAATGATTCAAGCAACTTCACTAAGCTGGTACTTACTGCGGGCCTGGGGCTTTACATTTTTATTTTATCTTTACAACTCCCTCTCATTCTCATGTTATCATAGTCATTTTACGGAATAGAAAACTGAGGTTCAGAAGTTAAATAACTTACCTAAGGTGAAACCAGGATGGAAACCCAGGCTTATCAGGCTCTAAATCTTTGTGATTTGTTTTAATGCAGAGAAAATGAGACAATAGTGATACATGACAACAGAGGTGGTAGAGAGACTGTATGATCAGCAAATAGGGGAAGTGTAAGAGAGTTAATAATGAAATAAATTCATGTATCATGTAGAGTTCTTTGTAGCTTATGAAAAGTTATATGTGTAGTATAATATAGTAGTTAAGATCATGTATTCTGGAGCCAGATGGCCTGGCTTCAAATCCTGGCTCTGCCACTTACTAGTTGTGTGGCTTTGGGCAAGTTTCTTAACCTCTCTGTGCCTCAGTTTTCTCATGTATAAAGTAGGGATTAAAAATAGTATATATTTCATTGGGTTGTTGTAATGATTAAATAAGATAGTATTCGTTAAGCAATTAGAATAGTGCCTTGCACACAGTAAACATAAAAGTTGTCATTGTTATCATTATTACTGCATTTGGTCTTCACTGTTGTTCTTCCCATTTTACAGATGATGAAAGGTAAACTAGGGAGGTTAAGCAACTCACTCAAGATCACAGGGTCAGCCAGTGACAGACCTGGACCAGAACCTGGGTCTCTCCATCCTGTCCAGGGCGTTTTCCACTCCTAGCATTGCCTCCCAACTTTACTAAATATAAGCAGAGGGGTCACAGCAGGTCTTGGAATGTCTGTGTAAATAGAGGAGGGGCAATGCACAATTCACGCTCTTTCTCCTGGAGAATAAAGGAAGGATCTGTAGAGGAAGAATTTCAGGAACTTCAGTGAAGCATGTGGAACATTCCCCAACAACTCAGTCCAATTCCGTTGCATGAACTTTTACTAGCATGTGAATCTCTCTTTCCAATCTACTTGTCCTCTCCTCCAGCCCAGACCCAGCGTCACATCACCACCACCTGTCTTTGTTGGACATCTACAGGAGCCTCCTACTTGGCATCCTCTCTTCAACCCATTCTCCTCACTACAGCCAAAGACATATTTCTAAACATGAACCTGATCACGTCAGTCCCCTGATCAGAACCCTTCCATGGTGCCCCATGGCTCTAAGGACCTGGGCCAAACCCCTTCATATGGTCTAAGAGATTGGGCTAGAGCTAGGTTTTCCTTCCATGTGCTGCCTCATGGTTCAAGCCCTGTGCTCCTGTCAGATTGCACCTCCCTCGGTTCCTCAAGACTGCGCTCTAGTGTTGGGTACACAGTCCCCTCTCTGAACTTTCTTAGTCTGGCCCAGCTCTACTCATCCTTGAAGCCTCAGCTCAGAACTCAGTTCTTCTGGGAAGACTTTTCGCATTTTCCCCCACATTTCCCCCTGTATCTCCTCCTTGACAGCACTTGTCATCCAGTATTGTAATTGCCGTGTCTTTGCCTACGCCTCCCACTGGCATCTGGGCTTCCTGAAGACAATTGCCACGTCTCTTTGGTTCAGTGTTACACCTGGAACCCAGCACAGGGCCTGAAATGAGAGTTACATATCAAAGATAAATACAGATGCTGGTTGAAACTGATGAAGTGGAGGCTACTGCCAAAGAGGAACTTGTAGGTCCAGTGAGAAGATAATTATCAACAGCAGAAACATCAGGCAAATTCCCAGAGATGGTGAAAGAGATTGGTTAGAGGGCCAAGAGGAGGAAAAGACAGTAGCACCACCACGGGAAGAGAGAGAGAGTTAAGAAAGAGGAGCCAGGATGAGGGAGAAGAGGGTGTTGAAGCAACTAAACAAGGAGGCCGTTAGGCTGGGGCAGCTCTAACACCTTGTAGCCTACATAAGCGAATCAAACCTAAGCCAGCGTCAAGGCACTCCAACCTGAGAAAATTAAGTTTAAGAACAACCCATCACAAACAGCCAACTGGGTTCTCCCAAATAAGGCAACTGCTTCAGCTACAGCCAATCAAATAATTTCCTTGCTTTCCTTCCTTGTCTTCTCTATAAAACCTCTCCCCCAGCTCCTGTTGGTGGAGTGCTCCTAACCACCTTTGGCTTGGCGCTGCCCGATTCCAAACCATGTATGCTCAAACAAACTCTTGAAAATGTTAATGTGCCTCAGTTTGTCTTTTAACAAGGAGATTATCGCAAGAAAGAGGGGGTTACTGACGGAGGCAGGTACCAGAGTAGGTGGGTATGGATTACAGTGACCAACCATCCTGGCTTGCCTGGGACTCACCCGGTTTTAAAACTGCAAGTCCAGAAAACACTTAGTCCAGGCAAAGCTAGGTTGGTCACCCTCGGGTGGAACCAAGATTGCCAGAGGAGCCAGGAGTTTTGGACAAGGGCTACTGCTCCCTGGAGTTAGAAGGGATGGTAGAGAGGTGAAGAAGGGCACGATCAAACAAAGTGTAAGGGCTTTGGAACCAGAGCAAAGCTCTCCTTCTGCGCTGTGTGGTCTCCTTAAAATTAGCCTCTCAGATTCAATTTCCTGTAATTTGGGAGAATTAAACAAGAATGAGCGATGTGAAAGCGCCTCTTCCAACCGTAGGCTCACAGCTAGAGTTAAAATTTTCAGTTTCCCCTGTTTCCTCACTTGTGCCGCTACTCCCGTCTCCGACTTTTCCATCATCCTCCGTTTCTCTCCATCATCTTTTCCAGCTTTGTTTTCTCCAGTCTCACCTGCTCCTCACTTTGGGTACCACCCACCGCTAGGGGGCGGAGCAGAACAAAGGAAGATGACTGCCCCTCTAGCTCTCCCAGGCGAGCTCTCTATGGCGCCTGCCGGCTGAGCCGCGCGGAGGGGGCGGGGTTCCGGCACGTGCCCGGCGTGCCCGGCGCAGGCGTGGTGGGTGCGTCGCCGCCGCCGGGCTCGGTAGCTCGCGCAGTTCGCCTCCTGGGCGCCCGAGGCGGCCGCCCGGCGGTCCCGCGGCTTTCCGTCCTGCCGCTGCGGGCCGCGGGGCGCGGCCATGTCCCGAAAGCAGGCGGCGAAGAGCCGGCCGGGCAGCGGCAGCCGGAAAGCCGAGGCCGAGCGCAAGCGGGACGAGCGGGCGGCGCGCCGGGCCCTGGCCAAGGAGCGGCGGAACCGGCCGGAGTCCGGCGGCGGCGGCGGCTGCGAGGAGGAGTTCGTCAGCTTCGCCAACCAGCTGCAGGCCCTGGGGCTGAAGCTGCGGGAGGTGCCGGGGGACGGGTGAGGCGGGCCGGGAGCGCGGGAGGCGGCGCCGGGGAATGCGCCGGGCCAGGCGACCGTCGCCCGCTCGCGTCCACCCATTCATTCCGGTGCCCGCTGCCGGGTCCGGCCGCGGGGCCCTCCCCTCGGGACGCGCGAGTAATCCCAGATCGCTCTAATCGTGGCAGAGGCCGCGAGGAAACTGTCCAGTGGTCCAGAGAGCGGATACAACAAGAGCAGGTCTCCTTTAGATGGGTGCCCAGGGAGGAAGGTGACATTTAGCGGGGACCTGAAGGGATGGGATGGAGCCAGTCCCTCGGAGAGCGGGACAGCACGTAGAGCAGTCCTGACGCCCATCGGACAGACAGAGGTGAAGGCCCCCTTTGCTGTAGCGCTTTGCCTCCTTCCTGTTGGGTATCGCCCTCCTTTTACACTTGGGAAATTAGGGCTCTGAGGGCGTGTTTACTGAGCTGAAGGCAGCTTTCTCATTCTTACTTCCCTGGGCCTCAGTTTCTCCTCTGTAAGCAAAGGTGCTTACCCGAGCTTGCTTGGGGCTTAGACTGGAATCTAGGTTCAGCTCTTTTAGGGAATACGGGATAAAGAAATGAGGTGGGAGGGAGAGAATGGGGAAAGGGAAGGAAAACTGGCCTCAGGAAAGGTGATATGGATCCAGGAGCAGGCACGGAAGAAGGAGAAGGTAGGGGAGAGGGGAGGAGAACAGTTAGCATCCCCATTGCAGGGGTAGGTCAGAGGGAGTCTGGTTGCCGGGGTGTGTGACTCGCTAGGAGACAGTATTAATACCAGCCTGGCTGCTGCTGTTCCTCCCTTCAATTGAGGGCTCAGGGCAGAGGGAGGAAAAAGGAAGCTCAAGACCCTACAGAATTGCCTTAGCTATTAAGCATGGAAAAGAGGGAAAAAATTGTTTTCTGGATTTCACATTACATTGCAGCTTATTAATCAAGACTTTATGAACTGGCTCTAATTTACCTTTCCTGCCTTTCCTACATAGATATGCTCAGTGCTTTAGGCACATTGGATTTAGAGCATGATTGTGTTTTATTCACCACCAGCTGGCACACTGCCTGGTACATTGAAGGCATTGAGTGCATTTTTGTTGAATGAATGAATGATAAAAATATTACAGAGAGAGGCCAACTAGACCCTCAGCAGGGCCTCTCAGAGGGGCATTTTCTTAGTGGAGTCACTACAGTTAAAGGTGTGCACTTGCTGGGTCTTGCTTTTAGTTTAGTACCTTGACTTCATCAAATGTAGTTTATTAACTATTCAGGGCCTTACTGATCCTAATCAAACTCACGAGCACAAGAAACTGCTGTATAAATCAAAATACCAATTGAATGCTTTACAGTGGGATGGGGTGGGACGTTTCCTTGCAAATGATTGGATTGCTTGTGTCTGCTCTACTGGGCATGGTATTCTCAGTGTCAGGGTGTCCGGGAAACTGAAGTACTCAACAGGAGGTTGCTTATGGGCAGGAATAGCAGCACAAGGAGTTGTAAAATCTTGAGGGAGCTTTCCTAAAGCTATGGGAAGCTTTAGGGGTACTACCTCTACTCTCCCTCCTCCCTCCAAAAGAGAGCATACTTCTTTGGTTAATTCAGCAAACATTGGTTGGTTGAGCAACGTGCTGGGAATACATTGATGACTGAGATACAAAAGGAGTTTGTAGCCTAGTGAGAGAGAAACGTAGAACAGCGGGTCTCAAACATTTTGGTCTTAGGACCCCTTTACACTCTTAAAAATTACTGAGGACTCCAAAGAGCTTTGGTTTATGGAGGTTATAGCTATCAGTATTTACTATATTAGAAAGTAAAACAAAAATTTAAAACACAAGAATACACAAACACATTCCATTAGCTATCAGAGTGATAACCTCGTGTATCAGGTAGCCTCTGGAAGACTTCACTGTATACTTGTGAGAGAATGAGTGAGAAAGATAAATAACATCTTAGTTTTGAACTCACAGATACCCCGAAAGGGTCTCAGAGACACTCCTCCCCCAAACTGGGCCACACTCTGAGAATGTGTTATATAAATAATTAAAATACAATTTGATATATTCTCAACAGTGACTGATGATAGTGGAGCTGTTGAGAAGGAAGTGGCTAACCCTCCATGAAGTGGTCAGGGAGGCCTTCTCATTCCTTCAGCAAGTACTCGTGGAAACCTGCACTGTGCTAGAGGCCTCTCAGAGGAGGTCTTACTCAGACTGGGTGGTGAAGGAGCAGTGGGCGTATGCCAAGAGGACATTCCAGGCTGAGGAGCAGTGTATGTGAAGGCACAAGAGCACATTGCTTTTGAGAGATCTCCAAGTTGTTTAGGAAGACAGGAGTATAGAGTACAAGGGTAGAAGTCAGGGGCGGTGAGGCTGCAGAGGCCAGAGGGCCCCTTGCCCGGAATGTTCATGTCTCTCACTTCCGAGGTCGCTCTTCTTTGGACAGTGTTAGATAAAATGATAATGGTAATTCCTCTTGTATGGGCTCCATGAAGCTAACCTCCTTCTGTTCACAAATTCTTCCCATGGGTATCATGAGATGAACTGTGGGTCAGCCCTCTTTAGTATTGTGGCGCTTTGGGGTGTGGTGATGACAGGCTTTATCACTGCAATGGATGGTGTTTCCTGTGTATGTGATGGGTTGGCAGGTATCAACAGATTGTTTTATTAATATTTGAGTGCTCTTGGTGAAATATAATAAAGTTATGGTAATATAAAAGAATTGTTGACAGTCTGCACTCTTCTGTCTTTCCATTCTGGTCTGATTACAATATTGAGTAGCCTGAGAGAGCATCTCGCTGTATAGGCATATTCATTGTTGGCAGTATGGTACTTGTAGCATTCTGGAACCTCCGGGTGCTTGGGGAGAAATTAGCTGGTATTCTCTAATGTAGCCTTTCCATGAGTTGAGTCAGTTTAGCATAGATTAATCAGGGAGCTACTTACGGAGTTTTGTAATGCATCATGGGTCGCCTTCATGTTTGTCCTGTTGTCTGGAGGGTGGACCCATGTAAATTGGATTCAATTTCAAAACAAGAAAAATATTTTACCCTTGATATTGTCCTTAAAAACACAATTGGCTGTAGCGTAAAAAGAACCCCTATTTGGATTAGGCAGTACAATATTAGCATCTCTCTGAACTATATTTAGTTGTATCTTGCCAAATGCAGCCCTAAGTTAGTTACTAATTAGTAGTGTTCTAAAATTAAATCATTAAAGAATCACTAATTTTAGCCATTTATCTCTAAAAAACAAGTTGTTTTATTTTTTAATTTTGTTTGTAATTGTAGGATCTTAGTGATGGAAGGGCATTCACACATCATCTTATCTAATTATCCATTAGTTACCTGCATCTTCTGTACAGCAGCCCCATCTTTTGTGGCTAGCTCACTGGCTTTCAACCCTAGGGGCAGGATAGAGTCATCTGGGGAACTTTGAAAAAAAATAGTAAAAAATAGTGCCTAGGCTCTCTCCTAGATCAGCTACACCAGAATCTCAGGCAGTGGGCCTGGTTATTGATAATGTTTTAAAAGGTTCACAGGTGATTCTAATGTGCAACCATAATTGCAAACCACTGATTTAGAGTCTAGATTCTAGACTCTGTTTCTCAAACTTAAGCATGTAACAGAATCACCTGCACGGACTAGATTGCTGGGCTCCAACCCCCGAGTGTCTGATTCAGTAGGTCTGGGGTGACCCCAGAATTTTCATTTTGAACAAATTCTCAGGTGGTGCTGATGTTGCTAATCAGGGATTACGCTTGAGAATGAGTGATCTAGACCAGTGCTGTCCAGTAGAAATAAAATGGGAGCCACATATGTAATTTAAAATTTTCCACTGGTGACATTAAAAAACTAAAGAAACAGGTGAAACTAATTTTAATATATGTTTTAAGCCACGCTATGTAAAATATCATTTCAATGTATAATCAATATAAAAAATTTTAATGAGATATTTTACATTTTTAAAAATACTGTTCAAAATCCAGTATCTTACACTTACAACACACCTCAATTTGGATTAACCACATTTCAAGTGCTCAGTAGTCACATGTGGCTAGTGGCTACTGTAACGTACAGCAGAGACGTTGACAGTTCCTGAGGATTGCCAATAGATAGAAATTTACAAAATCCTGAGTCTATACAGTCTCTGTCTGTAGTGCTAAGATAAAATTTCCTTTCATTTGCCAAAATCTATATCTCTGTAGCTCCCGTATTTTAGTTTTAGTTTCATTGTAGAAGTTTAACATGCCTTTCACCATGACAAGTAGTTGGAGGGAACTGTCATGTCCTCCTGAGCCTTCTTTAGGCTAAACGTCACTAGTTGTTTATGTTCTTCATATTTTAAAACCACATCATCTCATCTGAACATGTCTCTTAAAGTGTAGCAACCAGAGTGGTACAAAGAATAGAACAAAGTATGTCCCCCCTTCTTTTTCTGCACATTTACTACTGTTGCTGCAGCCTCGGAGCCCTTTCATTTTGTTGATGTCTATATTATACTGTTGTCTCATACTACATTATTGAGCACCGAAAACCCTTACATTCTGCTTATGTAATTGGTTGCTTTTGTGAACTCAAATGCAAGACCTTATGTATATCCCTGTAGCACAGTGGTTCTTAAGTGGGGGTGATTTGCTCCCCAGGGGACATTTGGCAATGCCTGGAGACATTTTGGTTGTCACAACTGGCAGGGAAGGAGGTAGTGGTGGAGTGACTGGCATCTTTTGGGAGAGGCCAAGGGTGCTCCGAAACATCCTCCAGTGCACCGGACAGCTCCCACAACAAAGAATTGTCCCCAACTGTCCATAATATGGGGATTGAGAAGCCCTGCTGTAGTGTAATGGGCGGAGGTGTGCACTCAGGCAACAGCCTGATCTCTTAGAGGTCCTTGGGGCAATGGTTGCTTTGCTCTCCCGAGTATCATGAGTGCTCTTGCTGGGCTCCTTAAGGGAACCCAGGTCGGCTGTTGTTGTTCACATTTCCTGTGTCATTACCTTGTAACTCTGTCAGAGAAGGAAATGATTTGTCTGTCTTGATTTTTCATTTTGACTCTTTGGTGAGCTCAAGGAAAGTTTGGTAGACATAGAAAAGTATAGTGTGCAGATGAATGTGGTTGAGCTCCTGCAGTGTACACAGTTTTATACGTACTTTTTTGGCTTATATGGGGAACATTTGCCCACGTTACTAAAAGTTCTTAGAAAGCACGTTATTTTCTGTAGAACACCGTGAGTTTTGATATACTAAGTGTAAAATAACTGAATATATAATTTTGTGCTAAATCACACCTCCTCTTAAGCTAGATTAAAGAATAGACTAGTGGTGGCAGATGCTAAAGGTTTAAGAAAAGTTTGAAAGAAAAGCTTGAAATTGAGAATGCTTTATCTGTTAGCTCACTTGTTTTTCCTGTGGTTGAAAAAAGACTGCCATTGTTAGAGTTTAGCAGCAGACATCTCAGTCTAGGGTCTAGAACTGCTATATTCCTGTCCCTTCTAGAATCTTGCTGTGGATTGATGCAAAGCTTTTTGGTTTCTTGTTTATAGAAAATGTCATCTGTAAATTCTCCCTTGCCCCTGCAAAAAAAAAAGTGTAAATCTTGATATGTTTGAAGAGATTCCTGGCTCTCTATAACTTTCTATTGAAGACTCACACATCATCTTATCTATTTCTTTTCTGAGTTGAAAAACAAAAAACCTCTTTCTCCTGCATGTTTAGGTCTGAAGTCTTGCTGGCAGTGATGAGTTTATATTTTGGAATTAGAATATCATAGATTTTCATTTGGAAGAGCAAACAGTTTGCTGTGAAACTGGGCTACTGTTTGGCTTCAGAATTTCCCTGGTTTAAGGATACCAGATTGTGTTTGTCTTGTTTCAGTCTCTGTGTATCTGGGTTCTGTGTTGGTGATATAGTTTGGAATTTTAGAAGCTTTTGAGGGGTTTGAAGGTAAAGATAACTCTTAAAGTTTATTACCAGCATTTTAATTTTAGAAACAAAATAAAAAATGGTGTCTCATTTGGCAGGAATAACAATAGCATTGTGGCTCACCTGGGTGAGAAGTGAGGAACCAAGGAGGGAAAGTGTCATTGTGTAGTGCAACTCCGTGTTGTCCAAGTGCTCTTATTCTCGTGGCTTTCTCCACTATGTTCTTAGGACTCAAACTGGATGTTGAGTTCAGTTGTTTGTATTGGGAGCTTGACAAATTGCTGTCTTTTGGGTACTGTTTGTTAGATGAATGATTAGTTAGCTGGGCAGCTATAGTGAAACTTGTTTCGGAAAAGAGGCAGGAGATAGGATTTATCATTTTGGAAGGGCATCTGGGAATCATAACCCTTAGGTGTGGAATGGCTTGTAAGGTCTGGACCCTGTCTTCATTTGGATAACCTATCACACCTTCACTTGTTGAAGCAGCTGAGGCCCAGGGAAGTTTAATAACTTTCCGAGTCAGCCAGCTGGTAAGTGGGGCATAGACTCCTTGTTTATTGCCTCTCATGAAGGTAGTGTGGTTGGACATCTGCCTAGTGCTCTCCCCTAAGTATCTGGGAAGAATCCTGGACTATAAAAGTGGAGACTTGATCTCTTCTCTCTGTGAAAGATTTCCTATGGATTGCCTAGCATGAAGCATCATTGTTTTATATGGTGTTCATATAAGTGTTTTATAAGTTCATTTTTAAAAGGTCTTGACCAACATTTTTGTTTTGATAGCAATTGCCTCTTCAGAGCTCTTGGTGATCAATTGGAGGGTCACTCACGAAATCATCTCAAGCACCGACAGGAGACAGTGGACTACATGATAAAGCAGCGGGAAGATTTTGAACCCTTTGTAGAAGATGACATTCCTTTTGAGAAACATGGTAGGTTCACCGTGGGACACTGGATCCTCCAGGAATAGTGCATTGGGTAATGAAATCCATCAGCATCCCCCACCCTCCCAGCCAGGGGTTTGAATATATAAATTATGGCATTCATGTATTCAACAAATATTTGTTTGCCTGCCCTGTAATAGGCAGCTTGCTAGGCAGTTGGGAATCAATAGGTTTAGATGCGTATGCCCTTAATAAAGATGATGATGTTAATTGACCTGAAAAGCTATTCGTGACTTCTTATTTAGTGGGGGGACAAGCAGGCTATAAAATAGTGTATATAGGTTGGTCCTGTTTTTAAAAGGTATGCACACACAGAAACACTAGGAAAATTTTATAAAGATACTAACATTTTATGGTTGTTAATTCTTGGCGCCACTTACTTTTCAGAAACTACTCATTCTCTTTAAACTTCTTCTATAAAGGGGAGATAATAATAGCATCTATTTTTTTAAGATTTTTTTTAAGGTTTTTTAAGATTAAATTAAATACTACAGTTAAAATAAGTTCTTAATAAGTACTAGCCATCTGGGGATAGTGGGAATATGAATATTTTACATTATCTTCTGCAGATTTTTCTGATTTTAAATGTTCATGTATTACTTTTATAATCAGACAAATCAATAAAGTCATTTTAATTTTTCATCAAAAACCCAAACGCAGCCTGTTTTCTTTGAGGCTAGTCAGTTAGTGATTTTAATTAGTTTCTTAATAGGCACAAATATAATAAGAAAATACATATGAGCTTTTAAATTTTAGTTTTGACAAATATTTACTGAGGATCTAATGTCTTAGGTGCTGAGACATTTCTGTTTTACAATAACATTTTCATTATAGGGCTCACAGTCTTATCTGTCTCTTATCAGGAGAGAGACAGAATATTGCCTGTGTTTTAGAGAGACTCTGGAAACCATGTCAAGAGCGGAGGGGGAGAGAAACTGGGAAGGGAGATGAGTTAGAAGGCTCTCCACATTGGCGAGATGAAAGAATAAGATGGTCTCCACCAAGGCAGCTACTGGGGATAAAGAATAGGGTTCAGACCAGGACACAGTTTGGCAGTGTAATTGACAGGACTCATTGAAGGTGGGGAGGAGGAGAGAGGGAGGAGACAAAGGTGATTCTGAAGTTTCTGCTTGGGGAAAGGCTAGGTGGCTGTACAATCATGCATTGCTTAACGATGGGGATAGGCTCTGAGAAATATGTCGTTAGGCGATTTTGTGCGAACACCATAGAGTGTACTTACACTGACCTAGATGGTATAGCCTACCCCACACCTAGGCTGTATGGTACTAATCTCACGGGACCACCGTTGTATGAGTGGTCTGTCGTTGACTGAAACGTCGTTATGCGTGGCATGACTGGACTGTTAGCAAAAAAGAGGGCGGCGGGAGGAAGACATTTGGGAGGGAATCTATCAGTGATCCCAAAGCCTTTCTCATTCCTCACTATGAAAGAACTCATTTATTAGGCATCAGCAGCAAAAGAGACAGCAGCAAAACTCCCAATGAGTAGTTTAAACCAGTCACTGAGTTCTGATGGTCCCTCCTCCTGGATCACTTTTTGTCTGGTAGAGAGACACAGTTTACCAGATGGTCAGCAGTTTACAAATTAGATGTGGATATATGGGCAAGTTTTATAGTTTAGTGCTATGTAAAATGAATTGTCATTGATCCAATTAAAATATCATTTTGGATGAAGTGAGTTTTTAGTTTGTGACTTGAAATTCCACTTTGACCATTTTCAGTGATGGTCATGTGGTAGATTTGGGGGTATGGCAGGACAAGGAACTCAAACCTTTAGTTGCCAGGATGATAGTCACTTTAGATGTACAATGAGAAGGTGCTTTCTTGAAATGTCACTGTGCATGCCTGATGGTTGGTTGGTGCTACATAAGAAGTTGAGCATCGAAGAAGTGAGAAGTGGCCCTGACTGCCATAGCAGAAATGCAAAGAAACGTAGAAGTCTTCACATTCTGTTTGTGTGTCCATGGAACACTAAACTTATTACATTCATCTTTCTTATAGTTATGTGTTTTTAATGCCTGTCTACCTTGTTACACTGTGAGCTTCTTGAGAACAGGGCCTGTGGCTGTTCCCCAATGCAGCAATGCCTGGCACATGGTAGGCACTCATATTTGTTGAATGAATAAATGAATGGCTCACTTAACTCTTCAGGACTTGCTTACCCTTGCATCTGGCCATATCTTTTAGGATTATTCTTTTCCTTTAGACTGTGGCTTCAGAGAATCAGTAACCTCTTTTCCCCAACTATACAAATATCCAGATGGGAAACCTGAATGTTCTTAATGCTTCCTCTCCCTCCTCATACCTCGTCATTCATTAAGTCTTGTCACTTCTACCTCAATATTTTTTCTCTCATTGCTACCACCTTGTAAAATCAGGCCTCTGTGGACATTTGCCTACATTTCTTGAATACTCTTTGGACTGGTCTCATTGCCTCCTGACCCCTTCAGTTTGTTTTCCATGTTGCAGCCAGAGTGGTGATCTAAATGCACGGCTAATATGTCTTTCCCCTATTTAAAACCTGTAGCCAGCTCCCCGTTGACCTCAGGATAAAGTCCAAACTCTTTAGCCCTTCATGATCTGTGATTTTCTTATCCCCTACCCTCATCTCTGGCTGTTTCCCACCACATTTTCTTGCTCCTGACCCTGCCATACTGATTAGTCCATAAGCTCAGCCTTCTCTCTCTCTCTTGCCTCTGCTTGGAACGGCATTTATTCCTCTCCTGTCTGTCTATTCCTACTTGTCCTTTGGGAATCAGCTTAGTAGTCTCAGCTCAGAAGCTTATCTGATACACCTTACCTCCCCCTCCACACTACCAAACTGGCTTACGTTCCTGACGTGGAGTTAGCCAAACTGTAAGGTTTGAGGGCCCCAGTCTTCCGCAAGACTTCCCTCACTTCTGACATCAGCTGTAAATTTGAGGTGTCCCAAAACCACTCTCAGGTTCAATAATTTGCTAGAAGGACTCAGAGAACTCATTGAAGGCTGTTATATGCACAGTTATAGTTTATTATGAGGAAAGGATACAGATCAAAATTAGCCAAAGGGTAAAGTCTGGGAAGAGTTACACCATACACAAGGAAGCTTACCTGAACTTTGGTGTCCAAAATTTTTATTGGGGCTTCATTATGTAGATGTTATTAGTTGCTTGCCTAAGTGGTTGAACTCAGTCTCTAGCTCCCCAAACCCCCAGGTCTTTCTGACAGCACAGGGCCAGAGCGGCCCACCAAGAGTCACCTCATTAGCGTAAACTGTCAGGTGTGGCTGAGGGGCCTACCTTGAATAACAGAGACACTCCTATCTCTTGGGAAATGCCAGGGGTTTAGAGGTTATCTCCCAGGAGCAGAGACAACGGCCAGACCTCTCTTTGGGCAAGGCCAAATTCTTTGCTCCACGTTCCTTTCCTGCAGCACTTAGGCATCAGTAGTGTCTGTTTTCTTGTTTGCACCTCACTGGTTGTAAACTCCTTGAGGGCAAACTGTGACTGGCTATATAATGGAGTGGCCAAGAGCCAGATTCTTGGTGTCAGGCTGCCTTGGATGAAATCTCTGCTGTGTGCTGGCTCTGTGACCTTGGGCACAGCTATAAGCTACTCTGTGCTTGCTTTACTTATCTATAATATGGTGTGCATGATAATACCTCTTTCAGGGTGTTTTTTTGAAGAGTAAAAGTGGTAATCTGAGACGTGAGTAGAGCAGTGCTTGACACATAAGAAACATTCATTAATGCAAACTATTATGATTACTGTGGTTATTGTTACATTTCCAGTGTCTTATAGAATTAGTCATATAGGAAGCATTCAGTAGATACTTATTGAAGGGGTAAATAAATGAATCCTTTCTTTGTTAATGATTGGTGCCCTTCTGAGAAGCAGTCTACGTACTGTTCAACCGGCTGAATTCCTAGACTCTGACAAAGCTAATGGACTTTTCAAATGTATACCTCATTTCTCGTTATTTGGAACAAAATACTAATTTTTGCATTTGCTTTTTGCGTTTGGGTTTTTCCGTTATAAAGACTTCATTTTACTTTCTCTCCTACTTCCATGCAGTGGCCAGTTTGGCAAAGCCTGGTACGTTTGCTGGCAATGATGCAATTGTCGCCTTTGCAAGAAATCATCAATTGAATGTGGTGATTCATCAACTTAATGCCCCTTTGTGGCAGGTAGGTCGCCTATTCAAGAATTTATCTTAAGCTCTTATTTGTAAATTAGCTTTGGGGATGTCTTAAGGTGTTGGGGCTTGACTTGTGATATTGAACTCAAACACAGTAACTTGGACTGGGAGCCTAACCAAAGACGGGAGGCTTATGGTGGCTTGGAATTCAGCCCTGCACTGTGTGCAAATGGAGTCTGAAAACCTTTAAAATGCCAGAAATATTATTCAATATTATGTCAGTTAATTGGGTAATTTGGGGGCAGAGAGCCTAATATGGAGATATTTTAGGTAATTCTGTAAAAATATCTGAGTGAGAATTTAAAGGATTAGTGCATACAAATTCCAGTTTGAAGTATGCCTGTTCCCATGGTGTGTGTATGTTTTTTAGGTGGAGGGAAACAAAGACCAAATTCACTATAATAACCATTGCTAAAAAGCGTGTTCTGAGCGACACGATTCATTTCATGGCCTAGGATGTCAAGCTCTGTTTCTCTGCTCTACTCACCTGTACCTACGGTTCCAGTGGTTTTTCTACATCAAATAAGATTATCCAACAAGTGTTCAGTTTGTGTGAGGATGGCGGAGCATATTGTTGAACCGTTTAGTCCCCCCCCACGCCCCGTTTTAAGTAGCTATCCATTCAACTCTTTTCACCTTTTTTTTTTTTTTTACCTTTGGGGATCCTAAATCAACCTAATCTCCCAAACAGTCCATCAAACAAAACATTCTGAAGTGTGGAAGGTCAAAGGTTGGGGTGTGAAAGCATGTACAGGCTACAACTCCCTTACTCTTCCTCTTTGCACTCAGAACGCTTCTTGTCACTCTGTGGCTCTGCTCGAAGACCGGGCGTGTGATTTCTATCGTTCTCCTCCCTTCCCTCTCCACTAAGCCCCCATTTCTAACTTTTTTTTTTTTTTGGGTGAGGAAGATCAGCCCTGAGCTAACATCCATGCCAATCCTCCTCTTTTTGCTGAGGAAGGTTGGCCCTGGGCTAACATCTGTGCTTATCTTCCTCCACTTTATATGGGACACCACCACAGCATGGCCTGACAAGCGGTGCCTCGGTGCCCAGCAACAGAGTGCGTGCACTTAACCACTACGCTATGGGGCCGGCCCCTCTAAGTTTTTTTTAAATTAGAAAAGTAAAACATGTTAATTGTATAAAAATTTGAAAATTCAGAAAAGCCCATAAAGCAAATAAAAATCACCCAGAGTCACACTCTCCAGAGATCATTAGTGTTAACATCTCACTGTGTATCCCTGTCATTCACACACGCTCTTAGCTATAAAAACATTCATACATAAACTGGGAAGAGACGTAGCACAATGTTTTTATACACATTTTAAGCACATCTACACAGATATAGACACATCTATATTTATATATACCCACACATATCCCTGTATATTATTACTATAACGGCAACAATGGCCTTTTTTTCCTCATTTTTTCCTACGCCACCTGCATATATATTTCTTAATCAATTGCTTCTTCCGAGCCGTTGCTTGTTAAAAATAAAGTTAAGTTTATAGAGATATAATTTACATATTATAAAATTCACCCTTCTCTGGTGTATAGTTCTATGTGTTTTGACAAACGTAGTCATGTAACTACCACCACTTCCAACATCTAGAATCTTTCCACTGTTCCAGAAGGTCCCCTCGTGCCCCTTTGCAGCCATTAGTCCCCACATCCCCAGCTTCTTGTAACCACTAATCTGATTTGTCTCTTATAGTTTTGCCTTTCCAGAATGTCATATATGGAAGTACATAGCCTTTTGTGTCTGGCATAGTGTACTTTTAACAGAATTACACTACAGCAAAATAAATTAGATTCTCCATGGGTTGGTGAGGAATTTTACCTTACAGGGATACAGTGAGCAGGAGGGGAACAGTATCTGTGTGTGTTGATCTTTGGGGCAGTGTTGTCAGATGCACTGACACCAGAGACAGCTATCATATTTTTAGTGAGGGTTTTTCTTTCTAAGGGTGGTGCTTGAACCAAGAATAGTGGTTACCTCCTTCGTTGTCCCAATTTTTTGTCATTAAATTTTTACTCTTTCCTAGAGTCATCAAAATCATTTGAATATACAGCATAATGACCCTATTCTTGAAGGAAAATACTTGATGCCAACTTAGTAATCATAGGCTGCCTTTTCCTCCACTGGAACTTGTTTTTAGTTTATTAATTATCTAGGTGGTTGTGGAAGGTAATTCTGCATAGTTAAATATTTTTTTTCAAATACTTTTCTGTACTGTTCTCTTACATGGGTTGCTAAACATTGAAAGTATGTTTTAAAAAAAATATATTTGCTGTACGATAGAACTGTCCACTGGATCTTCCCCGTTTCCCCAACCCCAGTGAAGCATCTTATAAAATTTGAGAATTGAAACTGCATTGCTCGCTACTGTTATGGGTAAGAGCTCTTGCATTAATAATGAGTAGGCTTATACTCAGAACATGGAGATACTGAAACCTACATTTTTTCCTGGTTACAAGTAGAATATATGCTTCTGTGAACAGTACAGACATGTGTAACATAGAAAGTGAAAGTCCTCTGTCATCTCCGTCTCCATGAACATCACAGTTAACTGTTTGGTGACAGTGCTTCCCGTCATTTTTTCCTATGCATAACGTATGTATAGATTATTGTTATTTAAGTATTTAAGTACTTTAGGAGTTACGTCATTGAAAGATTCTAATCAACTACTTTCCTTTTCTAGTACTCTTCCTGGGAGATAAATGGTGATGCCATCTCTGTTTTGTGTGTCTCAAAACCAGACTCTCTGCACTTTGAGACCTAGATATTCTACCTGGAGAAAACTTACATGGCTCTGACTTCTAGACCTCTGTGGTTCCTGTTTGTTCCATGATTTTTGCTGTGTTCTTAGACCACAGATATTGTTTAAATTAATAGTAGTATCTTACTACCTATGACTTTCAGTAAAAACAGGAAGGAGGTGCTGATGTTTTGGAATTTTAACAAACAGATAGTTACTGGGCTTTGTAAGGGACAGAGGCAGAACTATGTTCGGGTTTTGTGGAGGTGGTGGTTTTTCGGGTATATCCAGGCTGGACCTTAGGGCTTCTGTATTGCGTGGCTCTGCAGAGCACCATTCCTGTTGGGTTGTGCTCCGGGGGTACCAATCACACGGAACACCTTGTGAGTAGTGCCTCCAGCGTTGTGTAAAGCAGTAGTGCTGCTTGACTATGTATAATTTTGTTTTGAAATTGATATGTGGGAGATTTTGAGTTTGTTGTTAATGTTTCTCAGTAGGTGGTTGATAGAAAAAGCTGTTTTTGTTTTAACGACAGGGGTGGATTTACTGTGAAGCTCATAAAGCTCAAGTGTCAGGTCCGTCGTTTCTATGGCCTCCTTTCAAGGTCTTGGGAGGGGTTCTAGCAATTTTGTAGCTGTAATTTTGTGTTCCTTTTCTCAAAGAGTGCTCCCAAATGGTTTGAGCTTCAAGCCCAACAAATCTGCACCTGCCCCTGGGCCTTCTCTCTTGGAAGGAGCCAGTGCATTTGAGGGACTGAGAGGTACTAACGCCCCTGAAACTTAATAAGTTCATTGTAAATTTTCATTATGAAACTTCATTGTAAATCTGCCTCTGGTTTTTGAATATGTGTTTCCGTATGGATTTATTTCCATATAGTTACATATTAAGCACGTCGAAGCATGCATACATGGGTGGGAGAAAGATAATTAAAAAATGGCCTAAGCAGTTTTTTTTAAGAGAAAATGCCTTTCCTTTATTTTGTTTTCCACAAATTAAGTCAGAGGCTAAGAACACCAGCCCCAGAGCCCAGGTGTGTGGCACCAAGACTCTTGTTGCAGCAGCTGCTTCTCAGATACCTTGTCTCCCAGCCCAGCCCCCTGGCACATCCCGTCATATTCTCGATTTGTGTCTATGTGGAGCCTGTTGACGGGGCTTCCTTGGGCATTTTTGTGCCAAAGTTGACACCATCCAAATCCTCGCTGGCATCTCCCCTTCTGTCGCCTGCAGATCCGTGGTACAGAGAAAGGCAACGGGCGGGAGTTGCACATCGCGTATCGGTACGGAGAGCACTATGACAGCGTGCGGAGGATCAACGACAACTCAGAAGCACCTGCGCATCTCCAGACTGACGTGAGTGAGGCCACATCTTTCTTATTCTCGCCCTGGAGGAGCCAGGTCAAGTGCTGTATGCCCTGGAGCTGAAAACTGTGATATTTTCATGGAAAGTTGCCTTTAACAATCTGTGGGCTTGATTGTTTAATTTTTTTTAGCTCAGGTGAGAGTGACAGGTAAAATTGGTTGTCATTCTTTTGCTTTCCCTAATAGCTGATAGCTGTGATTACATGAATATAATTTATATAAAAATTTTTAATTACTTTTATGTTTTAAAATTAATCCCTGCTTTGTATCTAAAGTTTGGAAACTATAGAAAAAGTAAAGAAGGTGAAAAGTACACAAAATCAGCTACCTGGACACAATTCTGTGATTGTTTTGGTATTTATATAGCTTTGTTTCCTGCTTTTTTCAATTAACATTATTTCAAAAGCCTTCTTGCACATTATTACATACTTTCTTTGTAATTTAAAAAAATAAAGTGAGAGTCACTCTCCCAACCTTGTTGCCTTTCCTGGATGTGACCGGTGTCGTCAGGATATCATAAAATCTCGTAGAGATATTTTACAAGCAAATGTGTGCGTATGTGCATGTATTCCACTTTTGCTGTTTTTACACTCTCCCTACCCCCCTAATTGTAGCATCTTACACATACTGTTCTGCAGCATGCTTATCAAATTGAACGTATCTTGGAGTTGAATTCATAGCAGTCCGTAAGGAATTTCCTGCACCTCTTCAAAGGGCTGCCTGGTGCTGTGTTGTATGGATGTATTAGACTGTGTTTGACTAGTCCCTTCGGGGGACTTGTTGGTGCTTTCAAACTTTTGCTTTTACAAACAACGTGTGGTGCTTTATCTTTACACCTCCTCACACGTGTGTGAGTATGTCTGTGGGATCACTTCCTAGAAGGGCCTTACTGCATTTATGAATTTTGAAGATGTTGCCGAGTTGCTCTGTATAGAGGTTTTACCAGTTGACACTCCCTCTCGAAATACGTGTCCCTTCTCGCACCTTTGCCAGCTCAGCATGCTGTCAGATTTTCTAATCTTTGTCAATGTTAGGGAAAAAATTGTTTGCTTAACATAGTTTTAATTTGTATTTCTCTTATTGGTGAGTTTATGTGTCTTTTCCCGTGTTTGAGACTTATTTGTATTTCCTTTTTTGTGGGCTGTATTCATTTTCTTTGCCTGTTTTTTTCCTATTAAGTTTTCTTAGTGATTTTTGGGAGACCATATATTACGGAAATTAACCTCTGAGTCTGTGGTATGAGTTGCAAATATTTTTTCACAGTCTGTCATTTGAGTTTTTATTCTTTGCCCTATGGTCTTTGCTATGAAGGAATTTTAGATTTTTATTTGGTTAAATTTATCAAGCTTTCTTACATATCTTCTGGGTTTGGGGTCATAATTAGGAAGGTCTTTGTCACTCTGAGGTTAGAAAGAATTCTCCTTTAATTTATTTTAGTACTTTTATGGTTTCATTTTTTTAAAGAAAATGAAATCTTTTGTCTCTATTTGGAATTTATATTCATATAAAGGTGTGAGGGTATGCATCCAACTTGATGTTTTTTCTTGTGGTTATCTAGTTGTGCTCAAACCATTTATTAATTATACATCTTTTCTCTAATGATTTAAAATGCCACTTTTTTCATATACTAAATTTCTATATGTATTTGGGTCTGTTTCTAGACATTGGTTCTGCTCCACTGGTTTCTCTGTTCATGTGTTTATTGTTTTAATTAAGAATATATTTTAAAATCTGGTAGAATTTTTCACTCATCATTACTTTTCTTTTTTTATAATTTCCTGTATATTCTTGCTTTGTTTTATTTTATATATGAACATTAGAATTAGTTTGTCTAGTTAAAAAGAAGTCCTGTTGATATTTGTTTTTATTGGGATCTCACTAAATTTATAGATTAACTTAAGGAACAACTGACATCTTTATGATGTTTAATCTTCTTAGCCAAAAACCCTTTTAAAGGTTTTTTATTTGTTTAATTGACTTTTTTGGTGATCTAGAGGAGCATTTTCTTCATATAGGTCTTGCCCATTTTTTGCCAAGTTTATTCCTAGATGTTTTGTGTTTTCTGTTCCTATTGTGAGGAAAGGATCTTTTCCCTTTATATTTCCAAGTTGATTATCATTTGTATATATGAGAGTTGTTAAGAAAATGTTAATTATGTATATCCAGCTATCCTACAGAATTATTTTTTTTTGGTGAGGAAGATTCACCCTGAGCTACCATCTGCTGCCAGTCTTCCTCTTTTTTTGCTTGAGGAAGATTAGCCCTGAGCTAACAGCGGTGCCATTCTTCCTCTATTTTGTATGTGGGATCCCTCCACAGCATGGCTGATGAGTGGGAGTAGGTCCACCCCCGGGATCTGAACCCGCGAACCTGAGCTACTGAAGTGGAGCTCGAGGAACTTTAAGCACTCAGACACGGGGCTGGCCCCCGGAATTCTTTTTGTTACTTGAGGTAAAATTCACATAACATAAAATTAACCATTTTAAAGTATACGGTTCAGTGGCACTGAGTTCAGCCACAAAGCTGTGCAGCCACTTCCTCTATCCAGTTCCAAAACATTTTCATCACCCCAAAAGGAAACCCTGTGCCCATTAAGCAGTCACTCCCCATTTCCTTTCTCCTCTAGCCGCCACCAATCTACTTTTTGTCTCTATGGATTTACCTGTTCTGGACATTTCATATAAATGGAATCATACAATATGTGGCCTTTTGTGTCTGACTTTCTTTCTTTTTAAAGTTTATTTATTTATTTATTTTTTTGTGAGGAAGATCAGCCCTGAGCTAACACCTGTGCCAATCCTCCTCTTTTTGCTGAGGAAAACTGGCTCTGAGCTAACATCTATTGCCAATCCTCCTCCTTTTTCCCCCAAAGCGCCAATAGATAGTTGCATGTCATAGTTGCACATCCTTCTAGTTGCTGTATGTGGGATGCGGCCTCAGCATGGCCGGAGAAGCGGTGCGTCGGTGCGCGCCCGGGATCCGAACCTGGGCCACCAGCAGTGGAGCACGTGCACTTAACCGCTAAGCCACGGGGCCGGCCCTGTCTGACTTTCACTTAGCGTGTTTTCAAGGTTCGTTTGTGTTTAGTACATATCAGTACTTTGTTCCCTCTTAAAGCTGAATAATATTCCATTGTAGGGATATACCACATTTCGTTTATTATTCATCTGTTGATGGGCGTTTGGGTTGTTTCCACTTTTTGGCTATTGTGAACAGTGCTGCTATGAATATTTGTGTGTAGTGTTTGTTTCAATACCTGTTTCAATCTTTTGGATATATACCTAGGAGTAGAATTGCTGGGTCTTATGGTAATTATTTGTTTAGCTTTTTGAGGAGCTGCTACCCTGTTTTCCACAGTAGCTGCACCATTTTACATCACTACCAGCAATGTGTTGATGATTCCACTTTCTCCACATTCTCACCAATACTGGAATTTCTTTTATTTCCTTTTAAAATCCTGGCCATCCTACTAAGTATGAAGTGGTATCTTGTGGTTTTGATTTGCCTTTCCCTAATGACTAATGATGTTGAGCATCTTTTCATGTGTGCTTGGCCATTTGTATATCTTTGGAGAGATGTCTGTTAAGTCCTTTGCCTATGTTTTAATTGGGATGGTTGTGCTTTTGTTGTTGAGTTGTAGGAGTTCTTTATGTAGCCTGGATACTAGATTCTTATAGATACATGAGTTGCCAGAATTATTTTTGTTTGTAGTAGTTTTTTGGTTGAGTCTTTGTTTTTTTTTCGGTATAGAATTATATCATTTGCAAATAGTGATAACTTTTCTTCTTTTTTGTTTTTTGCTGAGGAAGACTGGCCCTGAGCTAATATCCGTGCTCATCTTCCTCCAGTTGATGTGGGACACCACCACAGCATGGCCTGACAAGTGGTGCGTCTGTGTGTGCCTGGATCTGAGCCCAGGCTGCCAGCAGCGGAGCGCGTGCACTTAACTGCTGCGCCCCACGGCCGGCCCCAATAACTTTTCTTCTTTCTTTTCAATTTTATACTTCTATTTTTTTGGCTAATTGTATTAGCTGTTACCTCCAAAACATTGTTAAATAATAATGGTAGTAGTAAAAATCTTTACTGTGTTCCTTACTTTAATGGGAATGAAGCATCATTCTGTGGATTTACCATGGTTATTTAACCATACCCATGCTATGGAAGCTTTAGGTTGTTTCCAGTTATTCACCACTATTAGTAGCACTGTGATGAGCACTTTTACAGAAATCTTTTTTATACTTGACATTATTTCCTTTGGATAAATTTCAAAGACTCTTGATTCACATTGCCAGGTTGTTAGGGTATAATTTTATAATAGGTTGCTTTTTATTAACATTTTAAGGAATATACTACACATTGCTGGATTCCACTTAACTCTTTTTTTTTTTTTTTTGTGAGGAAGATCAGCCCTGAGCTAACATCCGTGCCAATCTTCCTCTTTTTGCTGAGGAAGACCGGCCTTGAGCTAACATCTATTGCCAATCCTCCTCCTTTTTTTCCCCTTTTTCTCCCCAAAGCCCCAGCAGATAGTTGTATGTCATAGTTGCACATCCCTCTAGTTGCTGTATGTGGGACGCGGCCTCAGCATGGCCAGACAAGCGGTGCGTCGGTGCACGCCCAGGATCCGAACCTAGGCTTCCAGTAGCGGAGCGCGCGCACTTAACCACTAAGCCACGGGGCCGGCCCCTCCACTTACTCTTTTACATGCAAAAACCAGAAATGTCCTTGCCCATTTCCCATCTCCCTGCGTTAATAGGAAGCAGAGGGAGAAGGAGATTGAGCAGCTGGAGGGGTGATTTTAGCTTTTCTGATTTAGGCTTGGGTTGTAAAGGCCTCATGGATACCCAGTGAACTGCTCTTTGTGGTTTTAGAATTTGGATTGACAGGTTCCCTTGAGTGTGGTGGTATGCACAGGAGGTTAGATGAGTCATGCTCACCTGTGACTGTCCACTGGGACAGGAACTTGACACTGAAGATTGCTGATGATCAAATGGGGCTGAGGGAACCAGGTGGGAATTGTATGTATGTTTCTTCAAGACGAGTTGTCCTGCTGCAAAAGCTCCTCGGGTGCTTGTATAGAGCATCTCTTCTGTCATTCAGCTCACAGCTCTGGAAGTCAGCTGAGATGGATGTGTGCTGTCGAATCAACAGTCATTGCCAAAATGTTGGTATCTTTTTTTTTTTTTTTTTAAATTTTATTTATTTATTTATTTTTCCTCCAAAGCCCCAGTAGATAGCTGTATGTCATAGCTGCACATCCTTCTAGTTGCTGTATGTGGGACGCGGCCTCAGCATAGCGGGAGAAGCGGTGCTTCGGTGCGAGCCCGTGATCCGAACCCGGGCCGCCAGCAGCGGAGCGTGCACACTTAACCGCTAAGCCATGGGGCTGGCCCAAAATGTTGGTATCTAGAAACTGTAGGAGTTCTAATGCCATTCTTGCTGAACAGTTTATCCCATTTCTTGGGCCTTTCTTTTTAATACTTCTTTTGTGGCCTGGAATCTCAATGTCTGGATGAAATTTAGCCTAGTCATTTCTATTCCCTTAAGATTGTTCCTAGAGTCTTTTCCCCATATATTTGAATGTTTTTGAAATTAGGATGTCTTCCTATGTTGAAGATTCTGAACATAGTTTGCTAGAGTTCCATGATTATTACTCTTTATATTTCCGTTAGTTTCAGATGCTTCATCAAGATGAATCAAATAAAAGAGAAAAGATCAAGACAACAGGAGTGGACTTTGAAGACGACCTGCGAGATGAAGTAGAAGATGCTGTCCAGAAGGTTTGCAATGCGACTGGATGCTCAGTTAGTATTTCTGTCATGCGGTAATAATGATTTATAAACAAGCGTTGCTGTGCCTAGTTTACCTGCTAGTTTTGTAGCGCCACTCTGGCATGCCAACACCTGATGGACCAAAAAAGGTCCATGATGTTTGTAGTTTGGTTAGGTTATGTGATATGATTTAACGAGAGCTGTTTATTCATTTCTCTCTTGTTTGCTATACTTTACCCAGTACTGCTCAAAATCCTAAAGAAGTATGTGGATTTATTTTTTTCTGATCAATGCAGTTTTATAAAGTATTTATATTAAATGGTTATTTCCAGTAACCAACATGACTGAAAATTAAGACATTTTCTAAATGGAAAAGGTGTTTAAACCTTGCCTCAATTCTCACTATTACATCTTTTTATTTATCAAATTGTTGAAGTAGAGATAGGTAGAAAAATATATCCACAGTGTTGAAGTGTTCCTTTGTTTCTTCGATAGGATTTTAATTTGATAGTCCAGAACCTGGAAGCAGAAAATTATAATATTGAATCTGCAATAATTGCCATGCTTCAGATGAACCAGGGGAAAAGAAATAGTAAGTCTGTGATTGATATTGATAAGCTTTCAAAGTGATTATATTGGCAGTTTTCCAAATATTTATTTTTAATCAAGTCACAGGTAGTAATTATACTGTCATTTATTTATTCATTCAGCAGAATGAGAGTATCGTCTTGGGGAGTGGAGACAGATAAGTAAACAGATATAATAATACATAATGGCGTGGGGGGCAGGGTGCTAGGGGAGCACATGAAAAGGCCACCTAACCCAGTTTTGGAGGGGTGGAGAGTGTCAGGGAAGACTTTATCCTTTTAGAATTAAGATTCCTTTATAAAACCAAAATGATAACCAAAATAGAACGGAGAGAAAAATAGCTTATTTTTCTGTTGGAAATATTTAAATTACTAGCACCTATTAACCTGTGATCATTCAGACTTTTTTTTTTTTACTTGAACTGAGTTTAATTTTATGGCTTGGAGGAAGGAAAAAAGATGTGACATCTTACTATTTTCTCAAGTCATTTATTTAAAATGATTTCAGTACTTATTGCCAGATATTATGTGCCAGATGCTGTTCCTGGCATGATAGTTTTCTATGTGATTGGGTATTTTATTATCCTTTTTATATATTTGCTGAGCCTTATTAGAAAACTGTAAGTAACTTGGTCTTTGTGACTTTAAAATAGCACTGTCCATTATCTCTGCGGTCCAGTGTGTACTTGAAATGTGGCTGAGATAGAGGAACTAAATTTTAAATTTTATTTCACCGTGATTAATTTTAATTTAAATAGCCACATGTGGCTGGTGGCTGCTGTGTTGGACAGCACAGCTTCAGAGCCTGTTTCTTTTCTGGTTTTTGGGTGCAAATGAAAGATTCTCCCCTAAAAATTCATGTTAAAAAGTGGTTTAATTTAATAAAACACTCTGCTGGTGGGACGCTGATGATGAGGCTGGTCAACAGCTTTCTTTCAATTTATCTTCCTGATTTTACCAGTTATGTTTTCCTGTCTTCCCCGCTGGTATTGACTTGATATTAGGATTTTGCCTCAAGGAAACCTTTCCAAATGACAGTGGTCTGGGACCAGGTACTTTTGGAGTCCTTTAACAATAGTCGCATTGTGTAACTGTCTTAGGTTCGCAATTTTAACAAAATATCTTTCTTTGGAAGATGCAGAGGAGAACCTTGAGTCTAGTGGCCGAGTGCTGAAGCAGTGTGACCCTTTATGGGAGGAGGGTGGCAGTGGCACCAGAGTCTTTGGAAATCAGGGCTTAAATGAAGGCAGGACCGAAAACAATAAGGCACGGGCCAGCCCTGGCGAAGAAAACAAAGCAAATAAAAACCAGCTCCCAAAGGTATGAAAGATGGGGTGGAACGGCACGTGGTGGGCTCTTGTAATGTGGAGGCAGTGTTGGGAACTTGGAGCTCATTTTAGCGTGTAATTCTCTTTTGATCTATAAAAGTAGTTATTGTAGAAGATACGGGGAGTGTGTGAGGGTATATCCAGAAGCAGAATGTGGCCCTCGCCCGTCCTGTTTGGCGTAGGCATGATGACTGGAAGGAAGTATACCCTGACCTCGTGTTCTGTGTGCACGCGGTAGTCTCCTTTTCCCACCTAACGTTCCTGCACGTCTGGGTGCTTCCTGTGTTAATCCACGTTCTAAAATCCCACTTCTTCTAAATGCCATCATCCACAGTGAACAACTTTGTGTATAAATCTTTGTATTTTGGATTATTTTCTTGGCTGGAGTCCCAGAAGAGGAATTGACAGGTTAAAGGGCATGGATATTTGAATCTTTTTAAGGCTTTTTGGTAAACTGTCAAGTGCTTCCCAAAAACGTTGTACATCACCCTCTCTGCTCCCCACTCTCATGGGTAGTATATGGCGCCATTCATTTTACTGACTTTGGATGTCATTTTAAAGTCTCTCATCAAGAAGTTTTGAGCTCAAAATGCAACATAATGTAAAAAGCCACAGCCAGAGGCAAAGATGCACTAAGCTTCTGAGGACTTAGGATTCCCTGGGCTGTTAAATTATGTAGAGAAAGGCCTCACCTGGCCTGTTTGAGTGTTATCTCTTGCTGGACTAGGGTTAATGTTTCTTTAGGTCCTTTTGAATTGGTTTATGAGGAGAATGAAATTGATTTTGTTTGCTAGCTCAGCAAGGGGATATAAATTTTAAAAGTAAATTTGAACAGTAATGGAAAATACATAATTTTTGGTCAGTTAGGTCAGTTTTCTCTGTGATTGTTGAAAGGTGTCTGTGCCCTTTGCATCTGTCAGCCCTGAATCTTTCTTCTGCAGGTGGCAGCCTGAGTCAGCCGTGCTGGCGACTCACCCAGCAGTCTTCTCTTTCAGGTTACAAACAAACAGAGGAGAGAGCAGCAGCGACTGGAGAAGAAGAAACGACAGGAGGAGAGGCACCGTCACAAAGCCCTAGAGAGCAGGGGTAGCCACAGGGACAACAACAGAAGTGAAGCAGATGCGAACACGCAGGTCACCTTGGTGAAGACCTTTGCTGCTCTCAACATCTGACTCTCTGGCCCTCTGGGAGGTGTAAGAAGTGAATGGAAAATGGAGTGCTGTGCACCAGGCTTTCCAGTGAGGCCGTCCTTTATAGAACGAAACACAACCTACAAAGTCCACACATAAGCTCACACTGAGTTAATTTCCTTCAAGCTGCCTCTTTTTTGTTCAGAGTTTTGTTAGTGATGTGTTTTATTTTATGAAAGTGCAGTGAAGCCATTCACGTTCTGTCATTTAAAATATCGAGTTTTAGGGGTGGCTAGTTAGGTAGGGAAAAATCTTTTGAGCGTGGTTTTATTTGCCCAGAAAATTGGAGTTCAGTGACCCAAATGCTTAACACTTGGGTTGAGTTTTACTGTAATTGTTCATGAAGTAGTTTAGATTAGTTGCTAGAAATTCAGAATGACAAGTTTCCTTTGTTTCTCTTTCATTTTCATATAGATATTGATACACAGGATGGTTTATAAATGATCTCCAACTCAGGAACATGTTTAGATTTAGTTTTCTTCTAATCCAAGTTAATCAGAAAATAATTCAGGAAGTGTTTTCCCGAAGTGATATCATATGAGGGCTGTGGCCTGTAGTCAGGGTGGAAATTAAACAGCTATATTTCTCTCCTTACTGATGCTGATGTTATTTCAGATGGGATATAGGTGCTGTTGGTTCGTTTGTACTCAAGCCATATGATAAATGCACCTGACTGTTAATTAGGCCTGGACTTTGCTGAAAATTGATAGTGTTATTGAGTTTTTGGTAGTAGTTTTTTGACAATGAGAAGAAGCTGTGTTATTGCTTATGCCGTTCAGGGATTCTGATAGTATGGAGAGCAGAATCCCTAGTTGTAAAGGGAGAAATTGAGGGATTTGTGAGTTTTTGCCTAGGAAGAGTCTAAAGAGTTATTTGATTTTGTAGGGGAAGAATGTCTGGAAGAATATCTAAGGTTTTTCATGTTCATAGTTTAAGTAACTATTTTCTTCCCTACTATTCTAGACTTAGAAAGAGGCCTTCAGAGAAATAAAAGGTAACTTGATCTGTTGTTGAATTTTCTTAGTATTGTGAAGATGAAATTCCATAAAATGCTGCATTTATTTCTTTTTATTTAAGCCACTATTTGGGATTTTGGTGTTTGAAAAACTCTCCACCACCTACTAGAAGTTGTCAGTGACTTAGGTTAGACCAACAGGGCAGAGAACATACTTCGGCTAAGGCCTTTGAGTGACTCCGCAGTTCTGCAATGGACAGATCTGGGCAGTGGAGAGATGTCATTCCTAAATCTGAGTTAGGGAGTGTGAACTATAATGTGTGAAGTAGCCAGTCTTGTACAGTCTTTGCCTTTTGGGGACCTGATATTTGGACGATTAAAATATGCTGAATCAAAAGGTAAATTATTATCTCTCCCACCCCTCAAATTTCAAAAGTATAAAAGTTCTAAGGTGAAAGGAAAACTATAAAAAAGTTTTGACATGTATAGATGTATCGTCGTCTGGGCTGGCCCTGGATTCATTGAATTGTCTTTATTAGCAGGCACTTTGCTTTCTTCGGTTTTAATAATGTGTTTTAATTTTTTGTCTGTTTGACTTGGGTGACTGTTTGTGGTTGGAGCGTCAGTAGTCTCTTGGAGTGGCTCCCAGGGCATTGAGGTTTGGGCTTCTTCCTGGTGCAGTACATTGTAATATTTAGCAGACTTGGAAACTGCATCGCAGTTGTCCTCTGCACATCACAGGGTCCTGAGTTGGAGGCTCTAGCACTCAGTCCAAACATGGGAAGGTCTCCGTTGCCTTACTGTCTCCGAGGGACCGAGGGCCAGTGCGTTAGGATCTGCTGTTCTCTTTGCTTTCAACTCTGGGCAGATTCCGTGGCTGAGCTTCTGAATGAACACTCTTTCTTGTCTGTTTTCTACTGCGAGAGTACAGGAGACCAGATCCTCTCAGAAAGATCGTGTACTAGAAATTCAGGAGAATTAGGAGTCAGAAATAGCTCAAGGGAGCCCCATTGTCAGAAGTAGTAGAATTGCTTTGTTTACTTGGTGAGTGAAGGTGGCCTTGGGCCCTGTTAGGTTTTTGAAGTTTTAAAAGCTGCTAGAGTTATTAAAGAATATTGGGCACATTTATTTATAAATTACCTGATTCTGATAACGGACTTCAGCATTTCTGGGGTAAAATAACAGTGGTTTTAAAAACTAATCAAATGGCTTCAGTAATTTTCTTTTATTTCCGTTTCATAGTTTTCCAGTTCTCTGTTCAGTATATTAATTATTAGAAATGGGGTGTACGTATCCAACTTTAGTGATATCTTCTAGCTAACAGTTGAATTTAGACTTCACTGCCTCAGTCTCAGCGAAGTATGAGGTAGATGGCATCCATATACTCAGTTGCCTTACTAGGCACTTGAAAATTACTGTATTGGCAGCCAAATGGAGGCCCAGTGTGTTTAGTTCTGGGATGGCTATTGTCGGTAACTTTTACCTAGTACAGTTACTCCTGCACACTCCCTATTAGGAGGTGAATCTCTCTTCACCTCTGAGTTACATCTTGGCCTTTAGAGGTTTATGTTACATGGGATTGTCTCCATATCTTTTAGTGAGGCCAGGAGAACGGGGATGGGGCAGTGGGTCCATAGCTGCTTACTAGTCTTATAAACTGTATATAAAGGTTTTATGGATTTTAAAAAAAGATTTTTTAAGGGTCAAAATAAGAAATAAAATTTTAGTGGCAACAGCTTTGTCCTAGAGAGGTAGATGTATTAAAGCAACATAGAACCACAACTTCTAAGTAATATAGTTGCCGCCAGGAGATTTTAGAGAATAGAATGTATATGTATATTTAATTTTTCAATAACACAAACATGGACTTTCAGGAGCAAAGTCTGGTTGAGGAATTGTGGCAGAAAGAAGAATCTTCCATTTAGTTGAGGTTGTCTGTAGTTTCTTTTATAAGCTCTAAGAACACTTCCAAACTCATTTTGATTCCGAGGGCTTATGAAGTGGGGTCTCCCTCGTGGGGCAGCTAGAGCTGGACTCCGAGGGAACGTTTGTGTTGGAAATTGATATCACTCTGCCCTGCTTCCCTGGGGAGCTTTTACAATGTGAAATGACGCGGTTGAGGGGGTGGGAGGAGGGCCGTGTAGGTGGAGAGAGCTGTGCACATGTTGAGTAGGTAGGTAGCAGAGGGACATGGCGTTGAACTGTACTCGTCATGAGTCCCTGTCGTCAGTGTGCAGTCTCTCTCATTCTGAGGTGCTCTCTAGACTCTGCCTGGGTTTTACTGGGTCAACACAGAATGCTGTCAGTTTATCTCTGTGAAACGTTCAACTCCCATATGCAGTCGGTTAGAAGAAACCTAGATTCCTAGTCAGAGCTGACGGAGTCCCTCTGCCCAGAAGGGTCTTTTGTGGGCAGGCTGGGAATGGAGCATCGTGGTATCAGTGTGTCACGTCTGTGGCCCTCTCTGACTCTTATGTTGGGTAGATGCATAGCTCTTCACCTTTTTACCTCAAGGCTCTTGTCTCTCTGTAGCAAACCGTTAGAGTCTGATGCAGTTTTCCTGTTTTGCCGTTCTCATTATGCACAGTGTCCTTCATCTCAGCTTTCAGAACAGGTGTTGCTAAAACTCTGGGGCCTTCTGACAGTTGTTCTGAGGGGCTTTAATAATGGCACTGTTTACAAGGTGTGTTTTCCTGACTAAAGCAAATTGTATTTTTCCACTGATGTCGTTGAAGATCTAGATGGCATATTTAAATTATGGCAAATCTTCTGCTATCCCAGATTAGAGGGGGAAGTAGATAATTGGCTTGAAGTGGAGATATTGAGCCCCACTCACAAAGCGCTCATATGATGTGGAACTTGAAACGTGCGCCACAGAGCCTGGCCCCCGAGGAAGAGCTGGGCCTCGTGCGCTGCCTGGCCTTGTTCTGTCCCAAGGTCAAGTTCCTGTAGAAACCTCAGGCTCTTAACCATTTCTTCCAAGGGGTTACTTTGCAGAGTCTCTCTAGTTAGGACGACTTTGTAGCTCCATTAAAATGTTTAGCATCCTTGCTGAGTTACTCGAGAGGGGCTGGTACCAGTAGAGAATATATTTCTGTAAAAGCAGGAACTTCTGCATGTGTCTTTATTTGAAGCAGCACATACCAGTGATACAGAGCTTCCTCCGCTCACTGTGCTGGTGGTCATGGAACATAATGATCACTGGATGAAACTTCTGTGGTCCACCCCTAATCCTTTGCATGTCAACCTCCAGCAGGTCACTATTGCTAGCCGTCCATGACAATCATTTGAGCTCAGAGGCCTTAGCCTGTGATTTGATCCGCTGGCAGGTCCTTTGACCAAAACTTGAGGAATGCTGGTGTGGGGCTCCTCATGACTTCCCACCCTCACCGTTCATTTTCCATGGTAGGAAGGGCCCTCGGCCTCCCCGGCTACCCTTCCAGCGTTCTCTGCCAGCGCTGAGCTCAGTGACAAGAAAAGAGCCAGGAGTCGGACTTCAAACCTCTTGCTGTTGTAGAAGTACTGGTGGGTGTCAGCCCCCTTTTTGAAGGAGGCAGATGTGGCTGTGGAGAACACAGGGGCCTTCACAGGCTCAGGAACCTTCTCTTTTTTCTAATTGCACTATACTCGTTCTAGCTTCAGTCTGGAGATATTTCAGACCTCCGTGGGGTCATGACCCAAAGACTTAGCGAGTCTTGCCTTATCTCTGGAGCTCGATGGGGAGAAATATGACTGATGTCTGTCTGATGTCCGTAGGTTGTTTCCTCTAGGTTGTTTCTTTCCACAGAGTGTGTTAATCTGAACCATTTTATTTTTTATTTACCAAAGTACTGTACTTGGCTATTTGCAGTGTTTTCAAAACCAAATGTTTCTTTTTTTGTGTTTTTAATCTTCAATACTTGGTGCAATAGAAGCTGCAAAGATGTGCCACTTTATCTATGAAATGGAGTTTTGTATAAGAATAAATTCTAGTTTAAAGACAAAGTTTCAAGTTGTTTTTGTCACTGTCTGACCACTGTTTGCATGAGTCTGAGAGAGCATGCTGGGAAATGTCCTTCTTAGAGACTTTGCGTGGAAGATGTGTGAGTGTTGTTCCAGTGTATAGTCATTTAGGGTCTCACTGAGCTTAAAACAGCTGATTGTGGCTTTAGCACGGGCAAGTGCAACCACCACACACCCTGGCAGAGCCATCCTTAAGGACTGAACGCTTAAGATTTTGCTTAATGTCTGAGAGTGTCTCTGATAATTCGAAGTTGTCTGAATATGGAGCAGCTGTCTGTTGGCTGCCCCCTGGGGGTTTCTCTAGAACTCAGGGTCCGTTTGACCCCATCCTAGGAGGAGGCACACTCCCCAGACACATGGGACAGAAGTGACTAGAGCATGGACTCACCTAGAAGAGGTCCTTGGAAGGGGAAGGGGGAATGGTGGCCTCTGAAAACCAGAGGGGGAGGAATCCCTCAGTGCATGCCATAGGGGCCCAGCCCACCCCAGGGCTCTGGTCCATCTCCAGGTCAAGACTGGTGCCGTCTCAGCAGGCTGCACCGTGTCCTCGTGCGTTTGGCCTAGAGACTCCCCGTGTCTGGTTCTAACTGGACTGGTATTGTCAGGCAGCTTTGAATTGGCTCTGCAATACTTTGATAGCAAAGGGTATCTGGTACACCCTGGATGACAGGAAAGAATCCTCCTTGTGTGATTTTCTGCTCAGTCCACTGAGAGACCTCTGGGTGCACAAATGCTGTCCAGTTCCTGAGCCCGTGAGGCCCAGATTCTGGACCCTGTTAACCCGACTGAATCTGAGAGATCCTGCGAGGACCAAAGTGATGTCCCGGTTTAGTGCCCCTCCCCCGCAGCGGGAAACTTGTGTCTCCTTAGTTCCATCCCTGCGGTGAGTTAGCTGGGGCCAGGGGGCCCCCTGGTAGGTTGAGTTGTATTCAGGGGGCTTCCTGCCTGGGTCTGTGACGTCCTTCTGTCTGTGAAGTTGGATGAGTCTGTAGGACAGAAATGTTCTCAGGCCGGGTAGGGAATAATTAGAGAACACATGGTTTATTATTGATATTTTCCTCTAGGTTATAGCATTGCTTACTCGGGGGCAGTGACAATTTATGAGCTAAAGATTGAAATACTGTAAGGGGGAACGTGGCTGTCCCAGTGGCCCTTCTTGGTGACTCACTGCCTGTGCTTGCCTAGGAGAAAGCTGGGTTGAAAACCCGGGTTTAAAGTGTTCGCCAGACACCGCAACGAAGTCCTTGCCCCCACTGTGCAGAAGTGTACGTGTGCCTTGAGACAACCAGAATTTGTCATAAAATGCTCTGCTCCATCGTGGTTTTGTAGACTGCTGGACAAAGTGGACACTCAGAGCACAGTGATGCAGGGATTTAGAACATTTTTGGTTATAAAGGATCAAGACCAATCCAGCCACTTCGTAGACTCTGGGCTTGGCAGAAGGAAAAATTTTCCACCTTGGAGAAACTTGTCTAAACCTACCTATGGTAGAGGGACTTAGATATCTCAAGATATTCAGTTTTTATTCCATTTATTCACCCATTCAAACATCCAAGAATCCATCTAACATTTACTGAATCTGTGCTGTGTGTGGGTCCTTATTTCTGGGCATTGAATACAGAGGTGGACCCTGTCCTCAAAAATTTTCTAGTCCAGGGGCTGGCCCAGGGGTGCAGTGGTTAAGTTTGCGTGCTGCGCTTCAGTGACCCAGGGTTCACGGGTTTGGATCCTGGGCGAGGACCTACGCACCGCTCCTCAAGCCATGCTGTGGTGGCATCCCTCATACAAAATAGAGGAAGATTGGCACAGGTGTTAGCTCAGGGCTAATCTTTCTCAGCAAAAAAGAGGAAGATTGGCAATGGATGTTAGCTCAGGGCCAATCTTCCTCACCAAAAAAAAACCCCGAAAAACTTTTTTCTAGTCTAGGAGGGAAAATGAACATGTAATACAACCCAAGAGAACACATGCGATAAAGGGAGGTACTGATAAGAGCGCTGTGAGTTCAGAAGGGAAATCAAGGCGGGCTCAGTGGAGAAAGTGACTTTTGGACTAGACATGAAAGGGGAAACGGGATATGGAAATAGGGAGCAAAGGCATTTTGGACTGAAGGACCAGCATAAGCAAAACCCTGGAGTGGGGTGTCCCACGTGTTTAGAGCAGAGTTTATTAAGACTGGGAACTTCTTTCTTCAAGCATTTGTCATGTGTCTTTTGCTACCGGAAGAGAAATGCTGTGCTTGCCCAATGAACTCCAGAGATGGGGTGTACGTAGTCCATCCTGACTGTAATTCATAGTCGGGAGTTGGCCCCGTGTGCATTTTGACCTTGGCACGCATCACAGGCGGCAGCCCTCCAGGAACAGTGCTGCCCACCGTCTCTCCAGCCACTTTTGCCTCATGGCCTCTGTGAGACGTGAGCTCAGGGCACTGAAGGTTAAGGATTTTCAAACACGTGCCCGCTTCAGATAAATGAGCACTCAGAGGAGCGAGCCGAGGGCTATTCAAATAAATGAGTAACATTTACCGTACGTATGATGCCACCTCCCTAAATAATTCCAATGATCATGAATCCATGGAATCTATTGAACGGATTTTATTTAGCGTCTACTGTGTGATGGATACAATAGGGAAGGCAGAAATACATGAAGTAACCCAGCATAGGTGGAGTTCTCTAACGCTCCGGGGGCTTTGAGTATGTTTTCTCATTTAAACCTTAAAACCACCCCGCCAGGCTGATGTTCTGTCCCCATTTTACTCACGAGGGAATAAATAACTGGCCCAAGATCACAGATGGGTAGCAGAGGCAGGATTTGAAGCCAGGGCAATCTGCCTCCACCATGTAGGAACCCAAAACAAGAACTCCAAAAACATAACTGGGGTAAGCAGCACCAGGAAAGGTAGGAATACATTGCTGGGCAGTTCAGAGGAGGGCGAAACCTGCTCCAGTTGGAAAAGCATCGTGGAAAACGTGGCATTGGAGATGCACCTTAAAGCACGTGGATTTTAACATGGTGATGAGTGGACAGGGAAGCTTCTAGGTTGAAGGAAGCTACTGCATAAAGGTGTGAAGGCAGGAAGGCCGTGGGCATGTTCTGGGAGTGGTGAGGAGCATAGAGAAATAAACATGGCTGGATAAACAAGGCTGGGAAAGCAGATGACACCCAACTTGAATGCCAGGTGTTGGTGGACAGTGGGGAGCCACTGATGGTTCGGGGCAGAGGAGTGACGTGATGGAAATCGAGCTGTGGGAAGATGCAGCTGGCACTGGTGGACAGGAGGGAGGATGGAGGGCTGAAGAAACTTTGGTCCTGATACCCCAGTCTTAGCTCTGTGACAGCACTTACTAGTGTAGAATAATTTTCTGTCTGCCAGTGGCCGCATCTGATTTGTCTCTGTCTCCAGCACTCAGGAAGGGGCCGGGAGCAGAGTTTGTACAAAAGCTTATTGAAGGAAAGAATAAACTTGAATACAGTCTCCAGTTCTCCAGCAGCGACAGTGCAAAAAACCCCAAAGAAACAGACGAATGTCCCTGATACCATAATCAGACTCTTAAGTTAGCTCGGGGATTCCAGTGTGATTTCTAAGCGCATATTCAGTTAGTAGCTTTTGTTAGGGGCTAAGTGGGAACAAAAGCCAAAACAATCCAATCCTGTTACCAAAATTGGAGAGGCAAGCTATGAAATATTCAGGCAGCAAAGTCCCTTCCAAGACCCTATGCCTCATTCATTCATTCATTCATTGGTTCATTCATTCAATGAATTAATAAGCAGAAAGCACTTAAAACAGTACCTGGTAAATGCCAAATGCTTCATAAATGCTAGCTATTATTGTTATTATGACTACATTCATTCATTCATTTGCAGAACACAAATGCTTATTATGTGCCGGGCCTTATTTTGCGTACTTTCACACGTGCTAACTTACTGAAACCTTGCCACAACCAACCTGCCAGGGAAATGTCCCTGTTCCATTTTACAAATGCAGAAACTGAGGCTGTGGCCGTATATCAGCCCTTTTTAGATTTTAATGTGCCTACGAATCACATGTGGGTCTCGTTAACCTACAGATTCTGACTCAGTGGGTCTGGGGTCAGGGCCAACCAAGATTCTGTGTTTCTAACAAGCTCCCAGACGATGCCGCTGCTGCTGTCCACAGGCCTCGTCGAGCAGCGAGGTCTAGAACGGATGCTAACTGCTGACCGGCAGAGCAGAGGTCTCTACCTGGACCCTCTGACCTCAAGTTCAGACTTCTCCTCTCCTTTTTTCAGTCCTTTCCACAAGTCTGCAGCTGGAAATCAAGTGTGTACTATAGACACACACACACAAATGGAATTTAGACAGACCCATTGATTCATTCACCAAACATTTATTGATCCCTGGGAAAACAAAGGATAAGACTTGGTCTGTGGCTGAGAGGTCACAGCAGGCTGCTCTGGGGTCTGGTTCTTAAGTTCCGGGTTTCGCTTCATTGGACGGTCACACGACTGTAAGATTACCAGGTCCTTGTCCGTTGGTACCTTAAATCCATCATACCCGGAACACAACCTCTCTCCGTCTCTCCCAAGTCAGTTCTTTCTCCCTGTGTTTCTTTTTTATGCAGCGGCACCATCATCCTAAGATGGTTGTAAGGACTTATGTGGCTATTTATCTGCATGTTTATTATTTAAAATGCGAAGGGACCGATCTCACTAGCCCAGAAGCATACTTTGCCCACCTGATAAAGGGAAAATTTAGGTTTGCTAGTAGCCTGAAGAAAATGGACACCAGAGGGCGCCTCAGGACCACTTTTCCCAACAGAGGCAGCTGGCTTTCTTCCCCATGCAACCCATTTTTGCTTTAAGATCTGGTCTTTTGGTGATTCTTACCAAGGATTTGAGTCAGTTACAGCAGCAAGTGCACACACCTGCTCCCCTCCCTTTTTTTTTTTCCTAGCACAGAACTTCACCTTGTACAGTTTATGACGATCATCCCTTTGATTTCTTCACATTCTTTCCTGCCCTCAAAGTCCTGACTGTTGTACACATGCCATGAAAAGGACAGAGGGAGTAAACATTTATTGTGTGTCTGCTGCGAGCTTTACCCCGTGCAATGCCTTTTTACGTGCTTTATCTCGTTGAATGGGCTCATCCCAATCCTGGAAGATTGTATCAGCTTATTATAGACAGTGGATACACTCTATCTATATTTAGGAGTAGAATCTGCCTAAGTATATTGCTCCTGGGGTAGGCTAGGGATCCTTAGGTGCATTAAACTCTTCATGGTGCCAGAGTTGGCCCCACGATGTTGGATGTTGAAATCTCCCCTCCTCCCTCCTGTCAGGAGCCTGACCTGTCCTGGGCACCCTCACAGCTGACCTGCGCTGGCCACTGTGGTTCTTCAGAGATGGCAATCAGAGGCTCAGAGTGTCAGAGGCTGATACCGACTCATAAAGAAGTGAAGACCCACTGACTTGGGAGTGAGGACACCCCCTCGGGTAGAACTTGCCCTCTCTGGCCCGCAGCTGTCAAAGGAGGGGTTTGGATAAGATGATTCTAGAACTTCTTTTCACTGTCAGCCAGTCTTTGCTAATGGGAGGGAGTTGACGCCTGATGACATAGTGGGGACAATATTTTTAGGCTGGTATTTTTCATGCTTCGCACATTACGTCACATGGCCAGAAATATTCCTTCTGGAGATTGCCATTATTGTCTTGGATAAGATTGTAGAATATTAGAAAAAGAGAATCACAAAAACTTACTATAATGGAAAATTAAAAGGACAGGATGTTGGAACTGCATGCAGGGACCACCCAGGTCAGATTTTTCCTGCTGAATCCCAGTGCTTAGCACGTGGCTGGCACATGGTAGGTGCTCAAAAAATGAATGAATGAATGAAACTGGAGACTAATTAAATCCTACAATGATAGAATCTGAGAATCAGAGAGTATTAGAATTATGGGAAAACATTATTCACTTATTCGAAAGAGGGAACTGAGATCCCAGGGGTGGGGTATAGTGTCTTCTGGGTGCTGAAGGTCCCAGAGCTCCTGGGCTCGGCTCTTCCTAAGGGAAAGATGTGGCCTGGGAGGCCAGCGATGGTCCAGGCCACAGTCTGGGGGCTTTCAGGGGGGACGGGTTTGCAGGAAAGGAATTTTCCAGAGGGAGGGTCTTTGATGTCCATGTTCCCCAGGCCCGGCGCTACAGCAGCTGGAGGTGGGGGCCTCGGAGGCTGCAGGGCGGAGGTGGAGCACGGCCTCAGCAGGGCGGGGTGGGTCCGGTGCACATCTTGTTGGGGTAACGGGCGTATTTGTGGTTGTAGGTGTCCAGGTTTTGGCGAAAGCAGAGGGCAGCTGTCTTGTCACACTCGCAGGTCTGTCGCTGGCAGGCGGTTCTGCCAGCTGCATGGGACAAGGCGAGTCAGGGACCAGGTGGCTCAGGCCTCCTGCTCTCACACACGCATGGGGTCCATGTTCTCACCCCCATTCTGCTGGAAGCCCCTTCTCACGGAGGATGTTTCAGGATGGGTGAGAAGAAGGGCAGGGCATGAGGGGGACCTGCTGGGGCCCAGGGTGCACGGAAGGCTGGAAGTTTCTCCCAGCCATCCTTGCTTCCTCCCCCAAGCCCACTCTGACTGCCCTTAGCCCTCTCCCTGCAAGGAGACCGTCTGGTTCACTAACTCTGTCTAGCCCAGGGGCATTTCTAGGCAGCTCCTTTCTCCATGTGATGCATTGCTGATGGTAGATTGCAGCCATCAAGCCCAGAGGAAGCTAGGAAATGACAGCAGCCCAGTCCCAGGCAGCCTGTGCGGGCCCAGAGCAGCCTGTGCCCAGACCGGAGGCCACTGGGACTGCAGCTGGGGCTGCTCGGGCCCTACATCTGTCTCATGAGTGGACAGAGCCCATTTTTCTGGCATTTACCCTAGCCCCTCACCCCCTTCTCCAAGCGTGCGCCCACACCCAGCCTGGGGATCAGAGGTGGCATCAGGCACCAGGGGCCCAAAAGCCTCCTCTTCTCTCCACTGCCTCTGTCTCCCGAGGGGCTCTGGCTCCTTCTTGTCCCCAAGAATACATCCCACAGCTCAGAAATGCCTGGGGCTCCTCATTTCCCCCTGGAAGTTCAGCCTCCCTTTCGCATCAGGGTTCTACCCACGCCTGCTGTTTCAGCAAAACTCAGGGTCGGAAGGGGCTTAACAGTTACGGCAGCTCTTTTGGGTGGTTCTTGCCAGGAGCTGGACTCAGCTGGGGAAGTGAGTGTGATTATCTCCACTTTATAGACAAGGAAGCTGAGGCTTTTGAGGGGTTACTTCACTTGCCCAAAGTCACGCAGCGGGGGAAAAAGCGGATCCCAGAGCCTGTGTCCCTGTTCACCTGACACCTCCCCTCATTCATCCTCTCAGTGCCGTCCCTGACAGGTGGCCGTCCCCGCCTTGCATGAACCCCCAGTGACGGGGAGCTCACTACCTGGCAAAGCTGCCTTGCTGGGTGGATGGCTGCAGAAGCAAGAAACTCTGAGCCAAATCTGCCCCTGGTGGTTCTGCTGCTGGCTCCACCCCTCCCCCAGGACAGACCTTAGGGATCTGAGCTGAGCCTTCTTTGACTCTCCGAGGTCCTCCCACTGTGCCCCGCACTGGGCCTGTCCTCCCTGCCCTGGCTTTACAGCAGGAAGAAGGCTTGGTTCTCTGACCTGGGCTCCCTCCACGGAGCTGGGCTACCGGAAGCCCTCCACACCCTCACTTGGTTCAGCCTGCTTCCCAGGCAGGGGACCAGAGGAAAGCTAATTGGTCCAAGTGGGCATTGGACCTGGCAAAGCTGAGCAATTGGGCCCAGCCTGACAGCCCCAAGGGGAAGAGTCAGCCTTTGGGAATGGGGTCTGCTGTCCCAAATCAAAGCTCCCGTTCTCTCTCTCTGGGAGCGTGTGCTCGAGGCTCTGTCCCGGGGACCTTGTCTTTAGCTGTGGCCCAGGCCTGGGGAGGGTGGTCTGAGTCCAGCTTCTCGGGGCCAGGCTCGGCTCTGCCCTCTTCGATCCTCTCCCCAGAGGCAGAAGCTAGGAGGCCTGTGGGTGGGGGGAAGTGGCTGGGACCAGGGCAGGAGCTGATGGGTCCCGGGGCTTTCTAGACTGGGTGCCAGGTGAGCATCTGGGTGGATGGACAGGCCTCTCCCCAATTCCGTGATGATGGAAGACCCTACCCTGCCTGGCCCTGACAAGGCCCAATGGTCACCATCAGGAGGGGACTCCTGTCTGAAGCTCTCCCCCTCCCCAGTGTCTGGGGTGCTTAGGACTGTTCACTTACCACAGAGGATGTTACTCTTGTTGGCAGAGAAAAGATACTTTTCCAGTATGGGCTCACAGCCCAGCCTCTCCAGACGCCCATAGCAGCAGTCATGGGCGTGGCAGCACCTGTAAGGGTCACTGTCAACCTGGAGGGGACTGTGAGCCAGGCTGGGCTGGACCGGGGGCGCCCGGGGGCCCAGGGCCCAAAGGTGCTCAAGGGAGAGGTCAGCGTCCACTTTTAGGTGTCCCCAGCTCCTCCTCCTCCCGAGATGCTCCCCCAGCTCCACCATTCCCCAGGGAGGTCCCCCCGCTGGGCTGCCTGCTCACCAGTCCGTCTGGTCCACGGGCCAGCGGGAGCCGCCGAAGCCGCAGTAGCAGCCATAGTCGTTGTACTGCAGCGCCGGCTTCCCCGTCACCCTCTCAATCATCACCCCGAACTGCACCAGGTTCCCGCCAGCCAGGGCCACTGCCGGGAGGGAGGGCGGAGGTGTCAGATCCTCAGGGCCCCACCCTCTGCCACCAGCTTCCCCTGAGGTCCCCTCCAGTCTGAGTCCAGACGTCTCTCCGATGGTTCAGGTAACCTCACCTCCCCCAGCACCTCATTCCCAACAACAGTAATGCTAAGCAGTAATAATATCTCAGACCTCCATCCCATGTTCATCCCCTAGTCCTCACCCCCATTGTATCAGTGTACCAGTCCCCCTCCCGCTGGTCCACCATCTCCTAGAACGCCCCCAACTCGTCCTCCTGGTTGCTCCCCACTGTTCCTCAAATGACTGCCTACAGGTCCTGATTATGCCCCCAGGTGTCAGCCCCCATCCCCCCAGGAACACTCTGTCCCCTCCAAGTCTCCTCAGATGCCCCTGGATAAGCTTCCTAACCACCTGGACTTCCCCAAACTCCCCCAGGTCCTGCTGGTGCAGCGATGGGGGGCTGCCCACCTGGGCAGGTCAGAGCCCAATGTGGGAGCCAGGGTGAGGGATGGAGCGCAGGTGGCGGGAGCCCTGTGTGTGCTGTCTGGGATCCCCACCAGCCCCTTTCCCAGGCCCCCCAGGCTGCATTCTTCACCCCCTCTCCCCTCTCGCTGGCGGGTGCTGGCTCAGACAGAACTGGCCTCAGGATGACCCCCCACGGCCTCCCCAGGGTCAGGCTAGGGGCCTCCAGGGAGCTTGGAGTTCCCAGCTGGGGCAGGGGAAGGGTGAAGGTCATGAAGGTCACTTACCCAGGAGGCCAAGGAAGGTCAGAAGAGGGGGAGGCTTCATCCTGGGGGGAGGGGAGGTGAGCAGGGGGCAGAGGAGCTGGGCTGCAGGAGAAGGAGTGAGCAGGGGTGCCTCTGATCTCAGACACCTCCCCAATTAGTTAAATACCCGGGTCCTGTCCACTCCCCGTCATTAACCCCCGAATGCCCAGTGATGCAATGATACTTCCAGGTTGGACACTTTGGCCGAGTCCCCAGGGGAGGGGGCAGCCTGGGGCCCGTGGGCTCTGCTTCCTGGCAGTCTGAGGAGGAGGGCCGATCTGTGGCTCTTCTCACTGCCCTTCCCATCACCTACCCCGTTCCAAAAATCATCATACCAGCTCCCACGGGCGGAGCGGGAGCCCAGGGCTGTGTCAGGTGCTCGTCATCCTTCGTATCTTTTCCTCTTCCCCGTGGGAGGCTGAGGAACTTCAGTTCACAAGTCCAGGTCTGTCCTCTTTCCGTGCCACTAGCTACTTCAGCATGCCCTCTGCTGCCCGCCCCCTCGCCCCATCCCCAGCCTCTGTGTTACGCAGAGGGAAATCTTGACCACGCCGCAGGGCACCGGGGGCCTGGGGGGCCATCTGTCTACGAACCTAAAGGCCGTATAGGCTGAGATGTATAGGATCGTATAGGCCAAAGGCTGGGAGCTCAGCCAGCTGTGCTTAGGGATTTTTCCTTATTGTTCTTTGCTGGACAGGCTCCTGCTTGTTTCACAAGCGGTGAAAACACTCCCACACGTGACTTCTGTCTTCCCAAATCCTCATGCAGTGGTGTAGTGTGGCTGCTGTAGAAATAGGCTCTGTGTGAGTCAGCTGGAAAACCCGCATTCCAGCATGGACTGGAAACATCCGTGCTTTTGATGGATCTTAGGGGCTGGGTGGGGGAGACAGTAGTCCCCAGGCCCAGCTTGTCCACCAGGGAGGGCTGCTGTCCCCATGGTCAGGTCCTGAGGCCAGGCTTCAGAGCTCGGCTGGAGGTCAGTGGGATGGAGGAGAGGGCCTGGCTCTGTCATGGTCAGCAATTTCAGTCCCATTGGCCGTGGACTCGCAGTGGCCTCATTCGCTGGCTGCTGCCCTCTCCCCTGAGTGTCCTCGGGGCAAGATGCCCCCGTCCTGCCTGTGACTTCCTCCTTGTTCCTGGTCTGTGACCGGGATAACTTGACCAGCCACTTCCATCGACGTCCAGGGCCTGGCAGCTGCAGGATCTGCAGCCTCGGAGTCCTGGTTCCACTGCTCATTATGTGGCCGGGGCAGGTCCTTGCCTTGCTCGGAACCCCAGTTTTCCCGTCTGTATCATAGGCAGAGGAGGCATCCTACTCTTTCCTCCTTCGTGGGAGGATGGGAAGCTCAAATGCAACGGAGCAGCTCTTTGCACCGAGGACTTACTATGAACCAGGACTGTGCCAAGCTGTCTCAAGCAAGACCTCCAGGAGCCCTCGAACAGGCCCGTGATGCGGGGCTACGATCATCCCCATTTTATAGAGAGGCAAACCGAGGCACATGACTAAGCAAATGGTGAGCCAGAATTTGGGCCTGGACAGTTCAAAGGGCTTAACCAGTGCTGACAGGAGGCGTGGTGCCTAGCCTCCCTGATCCCTTAGGGGCCCCCAAAATGTTCTAATTTCTTTAAAATCTGAATGACTGTAATCCAGCCTGGATTATATTTATCTTCATACCAATGGGGGTCATAAGATTTGCTTTTCACTTTTTTTTCTTTCTATGGAGGAAGGGGCCCACGGATGCAGAGGTGGACAATTTCACACTACAGCCAGGAGCTGACTCGGGGCCTGGCGGCGGCCTGCTTCCCACGGGAGGAGGCTGGGCCTCACACCGCACACGAGAAGGACTCCGACACAAAGTCCCTGACCCCTCTCCAGCAGGGACAGGCAGTCCCCGGGAAGATGTCACCTTGGAGCGGGGAAGGGAGGGCTGACAGTGCTGTGGGATTAATGGTTTTTAATGCAAGAATAAAGTGGGGTAAACACTGACATACATTTGCCTGGGGCCGGCCTCCTGCCCCTCCCATTTCCTGCTAATAACCCCTCCTGGAACTCTTTCCATGCTGGGCCCTGCTCGTCCCGCTTAAAGAAGGCTTGCGGGCAGAGGGGCCAGAGAGGTGAGTTGACCTGGCCAGGGTCACCCAGCATCCATGAGTCATGGTCTCAGACAGGGGGCTCCCCTTTGTTCTGTTTCCCTTTGATTTTTAACGAGGACACCTCCTGGCATCCCCTGGCTCCTGACCTGGGTCACAAGAGCCCAAACAGTGAGTCACTGAGGAACTGCCTCCTGAATAACCGAAAATTAGCTTTGATTCCTGGGGAGGTTTGGCCCACAGCCCTTCCTGCTGCAGCTAAAGGGTATTCCCCAGGAAGGGCCAGGTTTCTGAGACAATTCCTTTGGTGAGCCATTTTGAACCCTGGCCTGGACAGGATGGGGCCCCGGTCAGTGTGTACCTGCGGCAGAAAACTGAGGACTGTACGGCCAGAGCCAGGCAGGGCAATCCAGGCAGGCTTCCAGGCAGAGGTGTCCCCAGCTGAGCTTTGAAGTGGGGGCATTGGGAGGACTTGGACTTGGAGGAGGGTGTCAGGCCTTTAGGAAATGTGGTTGACTTTATGGTTTTCTCACCAGTGGCGTGATGTGGCCGAAAGTGCCAGGTTTCTGTATCAGCAAGATAGGACTTGAGTGTTGGCTCCACCACTTAGGGGCTGTATGGCCTTGGCCGGTCCTGTCACCTCTTGAACCCAGCTCCGTTATCCATAATATCAGGGTAATTAGACCTCCTTTCAGAGTGTGGGACCAGATGAAAAGGAAATGAACTCTGTAAAGCCCTTCGCAGGATGCCATATCCATAGGAGCAACCTGTAAACATTGGTTCCCTCCTTTTGTCCCTCATTCCCTGGCCACAGGGGAGGCACGCGTTGTCCCAGGAGCTCACAGCACTCACCCCCGCTGGGGTGTAGCAGCTGGGCCAGGGCCCCCAGCATTTCAGGGGGAGCACTGTACCCCCCGCCCCCGACAGATCTTAACTTCCAGGGTGGAGGGTGGTTGGGGGGGAGGAGAGGAGAGAGACAGAGCCCAGCAATGTCTTCTTTCCAGGAGTCAACGTGTCCCCTGAGGTTCAGAAGTCGTTATCATCATCATCACCATCATCTTAACAATAAAAATGGCAAAACAACGACCACTTATTAAACTCCACGGTGTCGCAGGCACTGTGCTGAGCGCTCTTCATCTGCGCAGTCTCACCTTCTGTTGCTTCCCTCGGACCCGCCCACCACAGTGGGACAACCTTATTCCTGAAAGGATTCGTTGCCTGTTCAGTCAATGAATGATATTGAGGACCTACTATGTGCAGGGTACACTGGAGACCAAAGCCAGGTATAATTCCTGCCTTCATGGAGCTGACAGTCCAGTAGGGAACAAACATTAGTAATTATATACTGAACGGAAACTTACAAATAGGGACGAGTAGCTTGACAGAATGTTCCGTGGGGTTCTGGGAGCATTTAACAGAGGTGTCTGATCTGAGCAGGGGGTCAGTGAGGGCTTTTCTGTGGAAGAAATGGTTTAGCAGGGATCTCAAGAAGTTAATTGGGTGAAGAGGGAAGTGGAGAGAGTTTAAATAGAGGGACAGCCTGTGCAAAGGCCCTGTGGTCTGAGGGACATGGCACCCAGAAGAGGCTGAAGGAGGCTGGGGCAGCTGGGCTGGTGGTGGGTGGGCCTTGAAGGCGTGATTCACTGGGAATCCGATCTTGGGACCGCGACCTCTCATTCACCCCACAGTACATCTTTTGCTTGAGCCTGATGGGCTGGTGGCCTAGAGCTTGCAGCGCTGGAGAGTACCTGGGAGTCCCCCACGAGAATGAGTCACCTCTCTGAAAGACCCAGCAGTATTTTCATCCCAACGGGGAGCCTCCACGGGCACCTGAAGGCCAGGGAGGCTTGTCCCTGCACTAGGGACGGACTTTGTACAACTGTCATCACACAGTTGGGTTCTCCTATTTGTGACTCCTATTGACAGTAAAGAACAAGAACCCTTGGTGGGGCCTGTTGTCATCTTTTATAAGATCGCCAACATCCTTGTAAAATGGCCCGCCGCGCCTTGTTGGTCTTTGTCCAGGGAACAAGGAGGTGTCCTGCTCATATCTGTGTGTGGACTAGATGGTTCCTGCTGCTGAAGGAGAGTGAATAGGAGGGACGCCAGCAAGGAGGAAAAGGCAGGTGAGCAGGGTACCGCTGGCTCCAGGATGGCATGGCCCCCCGTGTCAGGTGGTGGGAGGGGCTGTGCCGGGACACACCAGGTGGGTGGTCACGCCTGGGGAGGGGTGATGAGCGCATCGGGCCCCCCCCTTCCCTGAGCCTTCGTGGGTACAGCGGTCGGTCACGAGGAGGGAGAGGAGACAGAGGATGCTCCACGGGCCCAGCTCGCCGAGGAAGGGAGAGGGGAGGAGGGCTCTGGGGAGCAGGGGTGCCCACGCAGGCGCAGGCAGGGGCTGGGCACACCAGCACCCACACGTTTTGCTGGGGTGCGTGTGTCTGTAAGTGCCTGTGCGTGTGGGGGGACGTGTAGGCCCCGCCCACTGTGAGGGGCCCTTTGCTCTGAGTGCCGTAGTGTCCTGGTTGAGATGACACTATGGGCTCTGGGGTCAGGCCGCGTGGCTTTACCACCTGCTAACTGGGTCCTCTTGGGCAAATGACCTCACATCCCACAGTCTCTGTTTCCTCGTCTGTGCAGTGAGGATAATAATACCATCTGTCTCATAACATTGTTGGGAGAGTTAACAGAACAGGACTTAGAAGGACTAAGAAGACTTAGAAGGATTTAGAAAGAATTAGAAGGATTTAGAAGAGGAACCTGCAGGTATGATAGTCATGACCTGCAGGTACAATAGTCATGACTACTGTTGCTGTTAGTAGCAGGATACTAGTTAACACAGATTTGGGGGCCTCCCCTACAAAGCCCCTTCCTGCCTGGAGACCCTCTTCTTTCCTGGAGGCCTCAAGAACCTGTTCTGGTTGGTGGTGGTCAGGCTCGACTGTCACATTTTAACATTTGGAGGGTCTGGGGGTTCTCATGCTGTGTGACTAAATATTTAAAAGTTCTCAATCAAGCCCACAGACTGGGAAATAAAGCATGTTCTATCCTTCTACCAAAATATACTTTCCTAACAACAAATGAAAGAATATATGAAAAGCCAGTTTTTATAAGACTGAAAGTCAGAAATATGTCCAAGTTGATTGAGTTTAATTATTGTTGTGTGTGTCTGGGTGATCTGTTGATGGGCTGGCAATGTTTGAATGACTTTAAGACATACGTACTTCATTAATTATTATACATTTGTTCCATAAAAATGTGTTTTTCTTGC